GCAGGACGATGGTGTAAGGGGGCCAAGAGGCCACCCCACCACCGCAACATACCAATTCGAGTGCCCAATTTGCCCTGTCGCGGCCTTTTCCTCTGGGCACCGCTGCGGTGTTAATCGGCGTTTTACACTTCTCATTACCACGTTGCCAGTCAAAACTGCTGCTAGCCTGTCCGACTGGACGGCTGGTTGTCAACGCCAGCACGCCTTGCTCTAACCGACAGCCATCGCACAGTTTGCTACCACGATGACTCAGAGCTGGGGTCTGGGTCTCTCTCCCCCTCTCCCCGTTTTGCCGCAGCTTGGTTTGCACTTGGCTCGTTACCGGAGGGTGGCAAGGACGTTTATAGAGCCACCCCGAGATGACGAGCGTGGGCGGCTGCAGCTACTGCTGCCTGCTGCTAGCCTTCTCCACTCCACTCCACTCCACTCCACTCCCACCCCTCTCCACTCCTTAAGGCCTAAAGCCAAAAGGTCGAAACCTTAACGTCATGATTTAGGACCCAAATTCCTACAGTAAAGTCCGGATGATTTTATCGGGCTTCAAAGGCCCTGTTGCGCTTTAGGGTTTATAGGGATTTCGGGATTTTCGGAGTTTGTGGTTGCGTTTGGCGCCGGCCACTAGCGGCTATCTTGAAGGCTGGGGCTTTTGGAGTTTCACTCGTAGTCTTTCGCAGTCTCTCTGTCTTTCGGGCTAGTGCGGTGTGGGGAGAACGTTGTGAAGGGCAAAGGGTTGTTCTTGTTCCGGATGCCTTTCGGCCGGAGGCGGAGGAGCAGGCCAATCGAAGGGAAGGAGACCAGATCTTGGCCTGTTTGTTTCAAACGCCAGTCAGCCGGAGAAGGGGCGTAAGGGTTTGTGTTTACAGTCCTCCTGCAGTCGTCTCGAACTATGGGTTTGTGAGAGGGTTTACTGAGTTTACTGATGCTGCCCGAAAGTTTTCTGCAGGTTCGTGTTTGTAATGTTTCAATTCCGTTGAGCTCCAAAACACTCGACACTTTCATAGTATGGGCCAAAACCCAAACCAACAGTCCGTAGAGACTTCGGGAACCGGTTCATGGTGAGTGGAGTGCCAGTGGCTGCTGACGGCAGCTGGTATACGTTCATGGACACGTGCGAATGAACGGTTATCCTGGATGGGCCGGGTGCGGCCCCCGTAAATCTCGAGTCTTGGTGCGCTGCGCCCCTTCAGCCGACATTGTGAACCAATTCGTGCCCAGGGCCTCCCGAAGCCACAGGGTCTTCAACTTGACAAACGCTTCGCAGTGAAAGGCGGCAGCAAGCGTGGTGGGGCGGAATCCGAGGCGGCTTACGATGGAAGAAAATCTCGTCTTCCACTATCATCCAGCCGTGTGCATTTCTTCATGCGGTTCGTGCTCATGAATTCAGTGGCCGACGAGGTCAAGTTTGGGACGAGTGTGGCTGGGACAGCTGTCGTGAATGCATTGCCCAGGGATTGTAGGGACGTGTCCCCATCAGAAATTCCACCCTCGCGCTAGCCACCAGCCCTTGAAGGCTACCAGAACCTCAAACGCTGACACACGCGGCTGCTTGTAGGCGATGTCATCCTCGCGTGTGCACATGTCGGCCATGAATACGCACCACAAATCGACCGGGTGCGTGTTTGCAGCCATGGGGGCTGTCGCACAGCAGCGTTAGCGGCATGATTGCGTTTTGACTCGCGGTCTCATTGCCAGTCATCTGCTGTGTTCTATGGTACCCGGCCAGTTTTTCCAGACACAGTTGCAACCTCGAGTCTGGCGGGTCAGAGCCGGGCCGCGCTGAGCCGCGCCGCAGCTCCGAGGTCTACTTATGGTTTTTTTGCCAGAAAAATGACACTTGTCATTCTTGTCATTGTTGTCATTCTTGTAATTTCCGGTGATTTCGTCGTTTCCGGAGATTTCCAGTTTTCCGTCACAATGGCTTGCTGCACGGCAAATGTCAGCTCCAGCACGCGCCTGAGACCGCCCAGCCCAGTAGATGACAGGAACGACAGAAATGACAAGAAAAGACAAGCGTGGGACGCGCGGCGGCCGGTGGACTCTTGCGGTTGCTTCTCATTTTTGTCAGTTTACCCTCCTGGACGTCAAGTGTAGATTCAATTTTATGTGTTCTGCGGCGCTTGATGTTTTTCAGAAAATGACAGCCGTCATTCTTGTCACTCTGTCATTTTGTGTGAATGTTGACAATTCAGGCCGGCACGGCCACACTCTCTCTTTGGTAAAGCCTTTTTGACCCGCTAGCGGCTATCCACGGCCAGAGTGAGTCATGTTGAATTCTTGCGCTTTTGAGGCAAACAAAACCAATCTCGAAACAGAGATGGAGGAGCAAGTCCACAGACTCAAAACAAGTTTGCCCTGAAAGGTCATTAAAAAGTGGGGCGATCCGTCGAAAGAATCGTCCAGCAAAAATGACTTGTTGGAGGTTCGGGATGAAAACGGAGGGCAAAGTCCGAAGAGCCCCGAACCTGCAGGATGGCATTTCTGGGCGATTCTTACTGCGAACGCTTTTTTGGGCCTGTAGGAGATCCGTGGCCGATTCGAGTTTGCAGTGAGAGCTACCACATTATTTGGGATGCAAGCACATCATACAGGTCATGCTTCGTCCTACCATGTCCCCAACCTAGAGTGAGAGCTGATGCTTAGAGGGCGAAGCCTTTCCGCAAAAACCGACGACACCGCGCCTCCCTGCAAGGAAAAATCAGTCGGGAGATTCTTGCACCGCAGTCCTTGAGCAATGAGCCAGATTTTGCATGCAGTGAATGGCGGCGCTTGGTGGCTCCTGTCCAGCCATCAGTCTCAGAAGAGTGCTGTGCACATCATCAGCTACGGCTAAAAAGATAGTTATAGTTGTTAGCAAATCGTATCTTCAAATATGCTGTGTACAAGCTCATGAAGGTCTGTATGCGAAACACAGCCAACGTACGCGCAAATTGCTACTGTCGCTATGGCATGGGCTTCGGGGTCTGGGCGTGTGAAGGGAGCTTTCTGTGGTGGTCATGGCGCTTCTCAGAGCACCTTTGCCTGGGGCATCGCAACCGGTCGTGGCGGCTCGGCAGGAGTTTGGCGAGCATGGGGGTTGCCAAACATGTCTGACACTTTGGTTTGAGATCCGCTTGGCAGTTCACATGCTGCTTTTTGTCTAACCCATTCCGAGCTCCCCCGAGCCCGAACCTGAACTCGAACCCGAGCCGGAATTGGAAGTTTTCCCCCGCCTGAACCCGAACCCGAAGCGGAACTGAACCCCCGAACCCGATCCGGAGCCCGAACCGAAACCCCCTCAAGAAATTGAGCCGAACTTGAACCCGAACCCCCGCCCCCTCCTCCGAAATATTGAACCCGAACCGGAACCCCCAAACTTGAATCCGAACAACCCGAGCCCGAACCGGAACATTCTGGTCTAACCAGGTGTCACGAACCATCAGCCCGGAGCTCGACTGCCTCGTACCGTTTGTGCCGCCGATTGGACCATCGCTGTACCTGCTCCAGACATCCCCTGCTTCATCTCACGTGGCTGAGGTCCGGTCCGCGTATTGTGCGGGACTGAGACTGGCACCTTGCAAAGCCTGTTGCGCAGCCAGCAGTCCTTGGTCCTTCCCATCTCACGGTCCCCAAGCACGAGGCCCACCGTGCGTCTGCGGTCACAAACGCCGCCGCGGTTCAAGAGTGCGGCCCGTCTGCGTTTCAAATGCGCTGCACATGCGCGTCAAGGCGTGCGTTTCAAGGCGGCCACAGAGAATTCGACTTGGAACCCACCAACTGGACCAAGGTCACCCGTCCCTGGGGCAATGCGGCAGCCAAGACATGTCTTGCATCGAGCAGCATCTACAGTGACCATAGTGCTTGGGGTCCCGACTGGGGGAGAGTTGGTGCACGGATGTGCACGGGGAGTGACCGGCGCCCGGGCCAGGAAGGGTCACCGTTTGTGACGCCGCGACGCGCCGGGGCCTTCCTGGGGCCATCCGGGCCATCCGGCCTGTGATGTGCAAGCTCGGTGCCCTGCATGGTGTGTTGTGTGATCTGCTGTGCACTCTCAGGCCAGAGGCCATGCTGAAGCCAGGGCCGCGATCTTGGAGCCTTGCAAGGGGTGGATCCTGATGACGCCATGGAGTTGTTGTGAAGCTGAGGCTGCCAGCCTGGCCACCCTGACCCCGATGAAGGTCAGGAGCTTTAGCCGGGCCCAGCCGGGTTTTGCACGGGGAGGTTGGGAGCCTCGCAGCCGCATCGCAGCCTTAAAGCGAAGCTCCACAAGGCGGTCAAGGCGGTCAAGGCGGTCAAGCCCGGACCGACGGAAGCGCCGCGGGCCGAGAACCGCAGCAAACATTGTCGTCAGAGGTCCCTCACAAGAAGACCGCTGTTGTTAAAGAATGTTAAAGTTACGTTAGCTATTCTATTTTTTTTTTTTTGGGGGGGGGGGCGGGAGAGGGAGGGTCAAAAGGGTCAAGTGCTTTTTCAACTTGAGGTGGTCCCAGGCCGAGTGCCTTGCAGCAGTTGGGCATGAGACCCCTGAAGTTTATTGTTTCTTTGGCTAGCCTCAGTGTTTGCTTTGTTGCTGTTATTGTTTGTTGTGCTTGTGCCATCTTGTGCTGTCCGCTACCTGTTGCTTTGACTCGCTTGTTCTGCTAGGTCTGACACCCGTCGAACGTGCTGCTCTCCTTCTTCATCTGTCTGTTTCCATGTCGTTACCGAATTCATAAGGTGTGTGTCTCAACGATGCCAAACGCAGCCGAAAGCTCAGGCTCCCAACCCGCGCCCCACGTTAGGCGACCATGGCAAAACCCTCAATAGCCCAATAACTTGCACAGAAAGGCGAGATTCGAGGATGTTCTAGAACAGGTAGTCGACAACGAGGAAGCACCGACACCCTTTCCAGGATGTGACGTGCTTTTTTTCCCTCATGAGGCAAGGAATGTGTACAAAATATATGTGTATCATGATATGCTTTAGTGACTACCATCTAGACAACTACAACAAAATCTAAGAACCATAGTTGAATAGACAGACTGATGTGGCGATATGCGAAAGATGGCAACCTAACAAGCAGGGCTTTGTGGGATGCACGGCGTATTGATTCGCTGCAGGCAGGGAGACTGAAGAAAGAAGGATCTCACAGGGGGAGAAGACAAGCCAAGTGTGTTGTTTGCATGGCTTTGGACGGGGGCCTTGGTCAGAAGGGGGGGGGGTGGGGTGCTTGAAACCCGTGTTGTACTTTTGCATTTGAAAAGTGGCCAAACCGCAAGCCTGCAGGCTAGGCTGGCCCCAGGCTTGAAGTTCGCAGTTGATCTGCCGAGGCCTCCCTTGCCGATGCTTCTGGGAGGGGAGGCAGGGAGGGCAACACGCAAGAACTTTGCACTTCCAAGCTTCAAGCCCCATAAAAGCTGCTGGGTCAGGACGCCCGCAAATTTGAAGTCCAACCATCCAAAGCGAAGGCGGGTCGTTGGAGCATATGCTGGCCCCTGCCTCTGCTGCCCCAAACGTGCAGGTTCCGGAGACCACGGCCAGTGATGAATATGTGGCGGCTCTCAAAAGTGAGTTCCATGCAGCTCTGGTCCGCGTCTTACTTGATGTCCCGACATCTAGCCACCTGCACCTCTACTTTTAGCGCCTGCAAGTGGGAGGCCCGGACTCTGGACCAGACGTCAGCGGAGAAGGCCTCTGATCAGTGCTGTGGCAGCTCGTGTGGCGCTCGCGACCGCTCCGTTACGTCGTTCCACGTTTGAGGCCGAGCTGCAACGGGAGCTTGCGAATGCAGCGGCGGCTTCTCAGGAGCGACCCTGTGCGTCCCTGCGATTAGCATTACAGCAGACAGAGCAAAGTAAAAGCCCACGAGCTTGATTCAGCTTGTTTATCTGAGAGTTTTGCAGGGCTCTTGCGTGGCCCTGTTTGCTCCCGGATTGAATTTGCCATGCCCAGAGTCCCCAAAGCGTGAGTGAACCGCGAGTGGTCCGTGGAGGAGTACTTGCAGAAGCTGGTTGACAACCAGGCGGCCGGGGCACGTTTGTAGCAGGGGCTTGATCAACGGGAGACTCATATGGGAGGCCGAAATGTCGGAGCTGAAAGAAGCCGTCATGAGGCTTGAGGCCCGTCAAAGCGGCTGCGTGATGTGTCAAAGTCGCAATCTGCCACCTCTGCTGGCGCTTACGTGTGGGAATGTGTGGGATGCGTGACTTCTGAGATCTTCTGAGGCAGCTGCCAGGTGCTGGGAGGCGGAGAAGGCCGCTGATCAGCCTTGTGGCTGTTCCAGTGACTGCTACGGATGCACCTTTGCTTCTGAGGCCGAGCTGCAGCAAGAACTCGCCATCGCAGCAGCGGCTTCTCAGGACGGCTAGTGAGTATCAGGTAGCAAGCAATCCTGTGCCAAGGGCGTGGGTGCAGGGGTGGCGCAGGGCTGCGCAGATCTGTCGCCGGGGGAAGGTCCTGTTGAGGTGCCATTGAGCGTCAGATGTGTCACGTAGCAACCAATCCTGTTGCCAAGGGCTTTCGCACTCATCGCGGGCATCAGGGGCCTGGGTGGGTGGCTGGGGGGTGGGAAGGTCTCGTTGAGGTGCCGCCGACCCTAAGAAAATAATTTTCCGCTTTTCGAAGCTGAACAACGAGAATGCCCGTCTCAGACCACTCTGACGGCTCTTGCACGGCTCTGCCCGGCCCCGGATGCTATCTGCCACGCCCATGTCCCCAAAGCACGAGTGAACCGTGTGTGGCCCCAGGAGTACTTGCAGAAGCTGGTTGGTAATCAGGCGGCCATGGGACATGTGTCGCAGGGCTTTCTCAGCGTCAGATTCATGGGAGGCCGATTTGACAGAGCTCAAAGAAGCAGTCATGAGGCTCGAGGCGCACTACGTCACAGCGGACGCATCAAAAGTTGCATTGCGTCATACCGTCCCGTGGTTTTCCGCAGTCGCGGTTTCCCGTCACAGTGAAAAGTTGCAATCAGCACCTGCCTGCATGTGGGAGGCACGGCATCTGGACAAGACCGATGCTAAAGAAAGCTGTTGGGCAGCCGAGAAGGCCGTTGATCAAACGGACTAACATATACTTTAAGTGTTGTGGCAGCGCCTAGCTGTGGTGACCGCTTTGTTTTCTTTACTGTTATACATTCGAGGCCGAGATGCAGGGAGATCTCGCAAGAGCAGCAGCAGCTGCTCAGGAGCGATTTCTATGTTCAGCAGAAGCTGATTGGTGTGACACAGCCAGTCTTGGCACAGCGTCCACTTGTCCGCTCACGGGTTTGAACCTGCCATGCTCCAGCGTCCCCAATTGCAAGAGTGAACTGTGTATGGGCCGTGGAGGAGTACTTGAAGGAGCTGGCTGGCAATCAGGTGGCCGGGGGACGTTTGTAGCAGGGGCTTCACCAAAGGGAGACTCATATGGGAGGCCGAGATTGCGGAGCTGAAAGAAGCTGTCTTGAGGCTTCAGGCGCGCGGGTCAAATCTCGCATGTATCAAAGCGGCAATTTTGCACCTCTACCTTTTGCCGGGCGTGTGCGAGGCCGGGTTTCAGGACAAGACAGCTCAAGAGAGCTGTTGGGCGGCCGAGAAGGCCCTTTGATCGATGTCATTAAAGTGTTTTGTGACAACGCACCCTTGCTTTGTTGACTGCTCTCTGTTCGGTTGTGTCACCTTTGAGGCCCAGCTGCAGCAAGATCTCGCAAGCGCAGCAGCAGCTTCTCAGGAGTGACTTGTGCATTGAGCATGCGGCGTGGTGTGACGTGACTTGTCAACTGTGTGAACCAGTAGCAAGGGCGCGCGCTTTCGCGCACGTCGCATGCCCAGGGCAGGATAGCATAGAAGCCGGCCCGCGGTTGAAAACTATTTGAAGTGCACTCTGGCGTAGTTCTGTCCACTGCCGGATTGCATCTGCCCGGCCCCGCCTCCCTCCAAAGCGTGAGCTGAGTAAGAAAAGGCTGAAGAAAAGGAAAAGAAAAGAACACGGTGACGCAAGTGAGTGTGAAATGCGTGAACCAGCAGGCAAGTGCGACCGTTCGTTGTGAAAACTTTGTAAAGTTGGGGGCTCTTGCGTGGTTCTGCCAACTCCTGGATCCGATTGCACTTGCCCTGCCCCGCCCCCCTCCAAAGCATGAGTTGAGCATATCGGCGGGTGGAGGAGTGCTCACAGGAGTTGGCCCGCAACGAGGCGGGGGAAGCTTCTTTCGTAGCGGGGGCGATCGGGCGGCTGTGAAGGGGAGCCTGGTGCGAGGCCAAGGTGGCGGAGCTGCAAGAGGCAGTCGCCAGCCTTCAGGCGCCTGCAAAACGGGCACGAATCGCATGACACGCAACTACAAGTAAGTAAATGTTACACTAGAAAGTCAAATCACCAGAAGGACGCATTGCGTTGCTGAACGTTGCTCCGGCAGGCCTATGTGAAGGAGCAGGACGTCGCCCTGCTGAGCATGCATTACGAGCTCTACGAATTCAAGGCACATCTCGCAAAGCAGATCTTTGAGCAGGATCCGACATCGGCTTTCCGGCTTGTTTTGTCCTTGTGGAGTTGACGCCGCAGGCGCAGGTCCACGGGGCGGCCAAGAAGGACTCCAACCGCGACGTGTGATGGGAATGCTCTGTCCTCTGTCCAGTGTACGTCGAAGCGCGGCTTCCAAATGTAAAAGTCATCTCCGATGGATGTCCCTCTCGTGCTCGAGGCGCCATTTTTCGTTGACGGCATGGTGTGACATGCCGAAGTCATGCCGATGTGCCTATAGGAGGAGCTCTGGGACATCTCTGGTTCCAGCCAATGCTCACCTTGCTCGGCGAGGCCAGCAGTTCTCGGGGTTGGCGGTTCACTTGCGGTGGCGGTCGGAAGTGGGACTGCGAAGAGAAGCGCGCGCCCCCTGCAGGGCTTCGAGCTCCCGGGACGCAGTCCTGCCGGGCGCCGTGCAGGAAGAGCTTGTACACTGTTGCAGTGCTGCCTATAGATGCCACCAGCCTCCAATCGTTCCGCGTGTTTGCTTTGACCGTGCTTGTGGGGTCCTGATATAGGAGATGGCGCAACAGACCACGTCATCTCGCAGAGCACCCGTCGTGCTCTCACACACCTGACATAAAATGTCGTGTGAACCATGCATCTCGCCGTTCTGTCTAGGTGATCACACGGTGGCAGGATGCTGGGCTGTGGGGCCGTACCAAAGCATCCTTACAAGATGGCCGCTTGGGGCAGGCGCGGAACATTGTGCTTCGAATGACCGCGAGTGATGTGATTTGGGGCTGGCTAGGCAAGCCATGGCTTAGAGCGGAAAGACAGCCTGGCGAAGGAGTGTTGCCCTTGCAGATGATCTTTCTGTTGAGTGTCTCCAGTTTTCGATGGAAGCTGTTCTCAAGTTGCAGGACATTTTGCGGCAGTACGTTGAGCGCTATGGGAAAAACCCGGAGCGTCCGGCACCTTGGCTTAGCAACGACCCCCCCTTGCGCACAGGGCATGTTCACCCTCCCCCCCCTCCACCCAGCGCATGGAGAGATCAAGCTGCTTCGTCTCTTGCAGCAGGCTTGCCGAACGCATTGCGCAATGCTCATGCGCCCCCGCGCCAAGGACCAGCTTACAAAGTTTGCGCAGAATATCGAGCAGCGCTTGCCCTTCGCGTGGGCACGTGATGTCCTGGCAACTTAGCAGACTTGGTGCTTGTTGCTGGTGTGATATTGTGATTCACGGGGGAACGGGGCGTCTCTAGACCTCAACTAAGAAGTCGAGCAACAGCTTTCAACTCGAAGCTTTCCTGAATTTTAGTCTGGCGATATAGGTGTAGCATCCCGAGAAAATGCGAAGAGCTGTCACAACTTGAAAGACTTTACTCGGTCCCGCCTTCTGGTTGTGGAGGGCGACATAGAGTCGCTAATTAGTTGCATGGTTGTCCAATGCACATGCCCTCATGACCATGCTCACTCTGACAGATTGCAGCAGTGAAGCACAACAATGGCTAAATCGCCTAAAAACATAAAACTGCCTTGCGAGAATAAAACTGTTTCACTAATCTTGCTGGCTCAAGGGCCCAGCTTTTTTGCAGGTACAGGATCAAGCGTCCTCGATCCCTTCCCACCTCTGGCAATAGCTTCGTTGCGTGCAGTATGCCAAAGGTGCTGCACGCCCCTGCATGAAATCAAAAAGGTTTCAAAACGGAAAGCCAAGAAAACGAAAACTTTCATGGATCCGACGTGTAGTGCAGCAAATCGCATGTACAGCAGAATAACACAAACAGGCCCCAGAGGGGCCACCAAGCGATCATTCAACCTCGATGTATCCATGAATTTGACCCACAGTTCCGATCCGGTGCTGGGCTTGATGCAAATCCACTCGTCTGATGGAGGAGGAATCTCTGGTCCTTCTGGAATCTGAGTGCCATTTTTGGACATGCGCTGTCCAAGTCGCCAACTTGGTGCGGTTGGCTTTGCTCAACGTGAGCCCTTCAATCCATTCGCTGACCTCTTTGTCATTTTTGCATGTTTTCCAATTGCGGGTAAGGAAGCCCTTTTTGGCCTCGTCCACATTGCGAACAGTGTGCGAGACATCGACCTGCATAGGCGTAGCTGACAAGGGCTTAGAATCACTGACAACATGTGGCTCACCGGAGCACGTAAGAATCAGCACTGGCGTTCGACACAACAAGCTGAATTGACGTGCTCGGCTCATCTCTCACTGCTGGACGACGTCGGGGGAGAGGCGGGCACGACCGCAACACCGGGCTCCGGGACCTGCTGGCCCTCCTGCGAGGGAGGGCCAATCTTTCAATGACACACACGCTTGGCCATTGCTTCATCATGCACCTGAATCATATTAGCAGACGGTCCATAGCCTTCCATCAACGTCAGAAAAGGAGTAGGCGGAGTTGGCGGGGTGCGCGAGGCACCATAACATCTGAACGTTCTGACGCACAAGGAAGGGCCGGAGTGCGGCGAAGAGGAGGAGGAGATCCATGTCTTCCTTCATCAGGGCGGGCCTAGGCCGGAAGCGCTTCCGGAGGAGTCAAAGCACGGCTTACATCCTGGGCCACTCGTCGACGAATGTACATCTCCACCGACGAACTGATGGGGCCTGGTGGGCCTGAAGACTTCGGAAACAGGTTGAGGCTGTCGTCCGAGGAAGCCCCCATGATTGTAAATGGGCAACAAAAGTATTAGTCACGAAAGCTACAAATGCGCTCGAGCATTGTCTCGTAGAACGGGTCCCCCAAATGCGTGGTCATGCGGAACAATCTGTATAGAACATCCGAATCCACTCGATTGCTGCACATACTTGGCGCGCAACTGCTGCAAATCCACGTGGAAACCCAAAAAAAGGTTCCCCTCTTCATACTCCAACACACGTACCAGGGCATCGAAGCTGTCGAAACTGTAGTACCGCGTTGAGTCTGGACCGACAAACATGTCTGACAAGCTTGCAACACTGCAAACAGCACAAGCAACCGAATCAAACAGGAGAGCTCGATTCATTTAATCATCCGCTGAGTGCTGGGGTATGTCGAACCGGTGTCTAACACGTCTTAAAAATTCAGCAGGCGTTGGCTGAAATACAAGTGTTCATACAAACTGACCGCTGTGTGGCATGCAGCAGGAGAGAAATGACTTCCCATTGGCGCACCTCACAACTGTTGAATAGCCTGTCCTCCGACCACGAAAAGCGAAAACTTGAACGACACTTTAACAGCCTCCAGAAATAGATCCATCGGGACTGCCGTTCGTTTGTCATGGAGCAAGCAATGGCGTCCACGAATCGTCTTCATAACTGAAGATTGTCCACAAGATCCACAGTGACGACAGCAACATCAGAAAAGCGGCGCCATGAACCGTTCACGAGGAATACTGACAAAGAACCCGGACAAATCTTGGTTGTGCATGGTCAAATCCATGCACAACCCATCAACAGCTGAATGTTGTCTCTCGAACAGCTGGTGACGATGTTGCCATAACATGATTGCGTCGTTGTACGATCTCGTACGCGGACAAACCTGAGCAACAAGCATCTCAGTGACGCGTGCCACGACAACCAACAATTGACGGGCTGGGCGCGCCGCAAAACTGACTATGGGTCTGCCCGCTTTCCAATCTTTCTTGAACTTAGGCAGAATGTATGCCCAAGAAACACGGGCGCTGCGAGATCCAAATCCAAATGGGAAGGCTTCCAGGATGTTCGGAGGCACGGCTTGTTCCATTTGCGACATGATCAGCGATTCATTCAACGACACAGGCTGAAATACCGAAGCTGCAGTAAAAGTGTTCTGCAGCATCATCCAGTATTTGACTGGACAGAACACATGAGCGTGAGGGCCTTCATGATCCCGAACGTGCCAAATAAGGCCTGGAGGGTGTCGCTGTACTTCACGCACCAGGTCAACAGTCCAATGGGAGCCAAGGTGTTGCATGCGCAAGTTCCAAGCTTCCTCCCACACTCGTCGTGCGTCACTTGTCGGATAATTCACCAGTTCATGGTGGGAGATCCATTCACGGACAGCCGCATGAAAAGTCTTCCAATGATCCTTCGCTGACATGAACACCGTATTGCCACAACTGGACTGAGCTACCTGCCCAAGAAATTCCGGCAAGTGTAATAACGTGGCGGAAGATGCCACGTGACCTTGGACAACTGTCAACTGTGGGTGTCGGCGCAAGATCTCAGAACACCTACACACAATCCCTGCCGTTGTGGGATCAACGTGTGGGCCCCACTGCTGCAAAACCTGCCGACGCGAGAACAGCACGTCCTTGATCTTGGGGTGGCTTTTTGCCACAAGAGCAGTGGACGGAACGTGGCAAGGCAAGAATCTATCCGACGAGACATCCAAGATGTCCCCCAACAGTCCTCACGCCAACTTCTTGAAATTTGACTCCGGAAGCAAGAATGGTATCATCAAGGGGCGACATGTGGGCTTCCCTTCCGCGACATGACGGATCCAATAAGAATTCCATCCTTGGCACAATACCGAGTGCAACGGGATAGCACGGGAAGGGCAACTATCGATTTGTTTCTTTACCGTCCATTCACTCTTCTTCACCCACCGCGCCAGGTTCAGACGCTGCGAGAGTCCAAATAGTTGGGATTCTGAGAAAACTCCGCCGGCAACATGGGGCCGAAAGTCCTGCGCCGAGTCGGACTTCCGGAGCCTGCGTACCCGGGTCCTTGATGAGCTGTGGACATCCCTAAAACTTGCGGAGCAACTGGTACAGTCGTGACTCTGGCTGCACATGGGTTCGGGCTCCACTCTGGAACTTGCGGGGCAACTGGCACATTCATGATTCGAGCTGCACATGGGTTCGGGCTCCACGACAAATGCTGTGGCTGCACAACAGTCGGTCGCGTCTGAGGGCGGTGCACTGTGCCCATGGGATTTTGCCAACTGACTGGTGGCGGTGGAACTGTGGAGCTCCAGGGGGTGCGTTCACGGTCCATGGCAACACAAGAAAACAAGCGCAAAATGACTGTACAAGTGATCTCCACTTTGATCTCCAAAAGCTGATTTCCGAACATGACTGTTGATTTCCACTGTGATCTCCACTTGAACATGTGTCGCAATCCTACCTGATTTCCAGATCTGCTAACACAAGCACCCCCGTGGGCCGGCATATTTCGCCGAAAAGCGACAAGGCCCTCATGAGGGAGCTCTTGTCGTACACAACTTGAAAGACTTTACTCGGTCCCGCCTTCTGGTTGTGGAGGGCGACATAGAGTCGCTAATTAGTTGCATGGTTGTCCAATGCACATGCCCTCATGACCATGCTCACTCTGACAGATTGCAGCAGTGAAGCACAACAATGGCTAAATCGCCTAAAAACATAAAACTGCCTTGCGAGAATAAAACTGTTTCACTAATCCTGCTGGCTCAAGGGCCCAGCTTTTTTGCAGGTACAGGATCAAGCGTCCTCGATCCCTTCCCACCTCTGGCAATAGCTTCGTTGCGTGCAGTATGCCAAAGGTGCTGCACGCCCCTGCATGAAATCAAAAAGGTTTCAAAACGGAAAGCCAAGAAAACGAAAACTTTCATGGATCCGACGTGTAGTGCAGCAAATCGCATGTACAGCAGAATAACACAAACAAACACACCCAAGGAAAGCCAATTGAATCTTAATTTGGCTTGGGCATGCTTGTGAGTTTTGCCCAACTTTTTTGGTCCTCTTCACCGGGTCCGACGCTCCCACCTGCTGGCTTGCTGCGTGAGAGCTCGCAGTCCCTAGCCTCGAAGTGCAACCATGGCCGGTGTTGAGAAGGCACTCCGATCGAGTCTTCAGTTTGTCCGTGATGCTGTCTGGATGAAGCAGCAGTGACCCGAAAGAAGGGAGCTCAGCTAAGAAGAGCGTGTCGTATTCGCTGTGACCAGATGTGCTTGATCCAGAGAGTCATGTAAGGCAGCTGCCTGACTGACAAGCCACCACACCCTGGCACCCTCGAACGTGGAGGCGCTTTCGGCAAACACGTCACACTTCATGACAGCCAAGCCATTCTGGGATCTTTCTTGCGGGCTTGGGACGCACCTTTATCGGCCAAGGATCGCCGATTAAATCAAGCAGCAAGGATTGCAGCACGAAAAGTCGAAGACGTGCGCCGTGGTGCCATGAGTTGTTCGGAACTTATTCTTTTCCCGTCCAGGCTTTGCAGCGCGCCTGGCTGAGCGGCAAGCGTGCGAGCCTCAAAAAAAGCATCGCTGCAGCCCAGGCTCTTTCGCGGGTGTCTGTGGAGGTGTAAGCAGTCAAGAGTTTCGTAGTCTGAGGGCATCACCACCAACCAGAAGAATCCCAACACTGATCTTGTTTTGGCTCTTGTGCTTCCGCGATCTTCACGGCCTCACGGGTCTCACGCCCTGACGGGCTTTCAGGCTGTTGTTCTGCGCTGGATTTACCTGTGGATTTGGATTTGTCTGTGGTTTTCTGTTGCTCAAAACTAGTTCTAGAGTCCGCGCGTGCCTGTGCCACTTCGGTGTAGCAGCACTGCTTCGAGTTGACCCTCCCTCTTGAAGACACCCCCTGCCGCCCCGTCGGCCGTAGGCCCGTAGGCTCTGCGTTTCTCTGCTCGACATATTGCATAGCTGCATATAGCTCTTGACTTGACGTACCTGACCTCGCCGCTCACCTTACCAGAAAGAAGAAGTTCAACTTCTAAGTTGAGCATGGACAGTGCTGTTGCAACGGTTCTTATAGCATGGGCTACTGGGGTCTGGGTGTCTCAGCGAAGTTTTTTGCGGTGGTCATGGCGCTGTTCAGAGCGCCCTTGCCTGGGGCAGCGCAACCGGTGGTGGCGGCTCGGCAGGAGTTCGGCGAGCATGTGCACGGTGCCATTATCACTTTTCGAGGACCATTCTAGGATCTGAACACGTTTGACACTTTGGTTTGAGATCCGCTGTGCTTTTCTGGCTAACCAAGGTGTCACGAACCATCAGTTGGAAACCCGGAGCTCGACAGCATGGTACCGTTTGTACCGCCGTTTGTAAGGCCGTTTGTACCATCGCTGTACGTGCTCCAGACATCTTCAGACATCCCCTGCTTCATCTCACGTGGCTGAGGTCCGGTCCGCGTATTGTGCGAGACTGAGACTGGCACCTTGCAAAGCCTGTTGCGCAGCCAGCAGTCCTTGGTCCTTCCCATCTCACGGTAGCAGTCCTTGGTCCTTCCCATCTCACGGTCCCCAAGCACGAGGCCCACTTTGCGTCTGCGGTCGCAGACGCCGCCACGCTTCAAGAGTGCGGCCCGTCTGCGTTTGAAAATGCGCTTCAAGTGCGCATCAAGGCGTGCGTTTCAAGGCGGCCACAGAGAATTCGACTTGGAACCCGCCAACTGGACCAAGGTCACCCGTCCCTGCGGCAATGCGGCAGCCAAGACATGTCTTGCATCGAGCAGCATCTGTAGTCATCATAGTGCTTGGGGTCCCGACTGGGGGACACGGATGTGCACGGGGAGTGACCGGCGCCTGGGCCAGGAAGGGTCACCGTTTGTGACGCCGCGACGCGCCGGGGCCTTCCTGGGGCCATCCGGCCCGTGATGTGCAAGCTCGGTGCCCTGCGTGGTGTGTTGTGTGATCTTCTGCGCGCGCTCTCAGGCCAAAGGCCATGCTGCAGCGAGGGCCGCGATCTTGGAGCCTTGCAAGGGGTGGAGCCTGATGACGCCATGAAGTTGTTGTGAAGCTGTTGTGAAGCCCGGCGCTGAGCTCAGGCTGCCAGCCTGGCTTCCCTGACCCCGATGAAGGTCAGGAGCTTTAGCCGGGCCCAGCCGGTTTTTGCACGGGTTGGGAGCCTCGCAGCCACATCGCAGCCTTGAAGCGAAGCTCCACAAAGCGGTCAAGGTGGTCAAGCCCGGACCGGCGGAAGCGCCGCGGGCCGAGAACCGCAGGATAATCGTCGAAAGGGCGGACGAGGCCAGCGTTGTGGCTGGTGGTATACTGCTGTGGGGGAGGGCAGAAGAGAACGGTGAAACATCAGGAGTCCCTCGCAAACCTGATAGAACCCACGAACCCGAATGCAGAAAGGCAGTCGCCTATAACGTAAAAACAACGCAATATAAACGAAACGTCGGTCAATCGGATCATTGTGCATGAAGTTCTTGCGTAGTCGAACCCACCTACCCGCACCCCACCGACCCTCACCCCACCCACCCACATCCCACCCACCCACGTCGGTGGCGGTGGTCTTGTGGTGCTGTGGTGGTGGTCCGCCGTGGTACCTTGTGGCGGTGGTACCTCGCGGTGGTGGTTCGTGGTGGTGGTCCGTGGTGGTGGTCCGTGGTGCTGGTGGTGGTGGTGGTGTTCGTGGTGGGATGTGGGTGGGTGGTGTGGGTGGACAGGTGGTGGTGGTGGTACCTGGTGGTGCTGGTTGTTGTGCTTGCTGTGCTTGCGCCATTTGTTACCTCTTGCTTTGCCCGCTTCTTCTGCTCTGTCGAAGGTGGAAACGGTTTGTGCGCACTGCTCTCCTTCCATGCTGAAACTGTACAGGCAAATACAGGTGTGCACGAACACTGGCGTGCCATTGTGTAGAGTGTAAAGGCTCGGCGGTAAGGCCCCAGGTTTTCAAAACTGCGCAGTTGATGTGCCGAGGCCTCCCTTGCCGATGCTTCTGGGAGGGGAGGCGGGGATTTCAACTCGCAAGAACTCTTCAATTCGCCAAGCTTCAAGCCCCGTCAAACTGCTGGGTCAGGATGCCTGCAAACTTGCAGTTCAGCCGTCCAAAGCTAAGGCTCGTCGTTGGAGCATACTGGCCTCTGCCTCTGCTTCCCCAAACGCGCAGGTTCCGGAGACCACAGCCAATGATGAGTATGTGGCGGCCCTCAAACGTGAGTTCCATGCAACCCTGGTCCGTGTCTTACTTGGTGTCCGCGCCACCCGCACCTCTACTTGTGGCGCCTGCATGTGGGAGGCACGCACCCTGGACAAGGCATCAGAGGAGAAGGCCTCTGATCAGTGTTGTGGCAGCTCGCGTGGCGTTGGTGACGGCTCCGTTGCGTGCTCCCACGTTTGAGGCCGAGCTGCAGCAGGAACTTGCAAGCGCAGCGGCGGCTTCTCAGGAGCGACCCTGCGCATCCCTGCGGTCAGCACAGGGTTCTCAGGATTGATCTGCGTTGAGAGTAAAGCAGACAAAGCAAAGTAAAAGCTGGCCCACGAGCTTGATTCAGCTTGATTATCTTAGAGTTTTACAGGGCTCTTGCGTGGCCTTGTCCGCTCCCGGATTGAATTTGCGTTGCCCAGAGTCCCCAAAGCGTGAGTGAACCGCGAGTGGTCCGTGGAGGAGCACTTGCAGAAGCTGGTTGACACCCAGGCGGCCGGGGGACATTTGTAGCAGGGGCTTCATCAAGGGGACACTCATATGGGAGGCCGAAATGTCGGAGCTCAAAGAAGCCGTCATGAGGCTTGAGGCCCGTCAAAGCGGCTGCATCCGTGATGTATCAAATCGTAATCTCAAATCGCAATCTGCACCTCTGGCGCTGACGTGTGGGATGCATGACTTCCGGACGAGGCAGCTGCCAGGTGCTGGGAGGCGGAGAAGGCCACTGATCAGCGATGTGGCTGTTCCAGTGACTGCTACGGTGATGCAAGTTTGCTTCTGAGGCCGAGCTGCAGAAAGAACTCGTCATCGCAGCAGCGGCTTCTCAGGACAGCTAGTATCCTGTGCCAAGGGCGTGGGTGCCGGGGTGGTGCAGGGCTGCGCAGATTTGTCGCCGGGGGAAGGTTTTGCTGAGGTCAGATGCGTCAGCTAGTGAGTGTCACGTAGCAACCAATCCTGTTGCCAAGGGCTTGCGCACGCATCGCGGGCATCGGGGACCTTGGGTCAGTGGGTGGGGGGGTCTTCCCGTGTTTGCGGGGCTGCGCAGATCTGTCGCCGGCGGGAAGGTCTCGTTGAGGTGCCCCCGACCCTAAGCACAAAATTTCCCGCTATCCCGGAGCCCCTGGTTGACTAGTGTGACGTAGCAGATCGTAGCGGCCAATCCTGACACAGGGCCTGCGCACGCATCACGCTCAGTGTAAAGTAGAAGCTGAACAACGAGAATGCCCGTCTTAGACTACTCTGACGGCTCTTGCACGGGCCGGGCAGGGATGCTATCTGCCACGGCCAATCTGACGAAAGCGTAAGTGCACCGCGAGAGTGGTCCCTGGAGGAGTACTTGCAGAAGCTGGTCCTGAACCAGGCGGCCATGGGGCATGTGTAGCAGGGGCTTCATCAACGTGAGACTCATGGGAGGCCGAATTGACAGAGCTCAAAGAAGCGGTCATGAGGCTCGAGGCGCACTACGTCAAAGCGGACGCATCAAAAGTTGCAATCAGCACCTCTACTTGGTGCCTGCTTTGGGAGGCACGGCATCTGGACAAGACAGCCGCTGAAGAAAGCTGTTGGGCAGCCGAGAAGGCCTTTGATCAAGCGGACTAACATATACTTTAAGTGTTGTGGCAGCGCCTGGCTCTGGTGACCGCTTTGTTTTCTTTACTGTTATACATTCGAGGCCGAGCTGCAGGGAGATCTCGCAAGAGCAGCAGCAGCTGCTCAGGAGCGATTTCTATGTTCAGCAGAAGCTGATTGGTGTGACACAGCCAGTCCTGGCGCAGCGCCCACGCGCAAATGTTGCCGTGACATAGAAGCTGGCCAACGAGTTTATCCGTCTTAGAGTCTTATAGGGCTCTTGCATGGCCTTGTCCGCTCACGGGTTTGAACTTGCCATGCTTCAGCGTTTTCAATTGCAAGAGTGAACTGTGTATGGGCCGTGGAGGAGTATTTGAAGGAGTTGGCTGGCAACCAGGTGGCCGGGGGACGTTTGTAGCAGGGGCTTCACCAAAGGGAGATTCATATGGGAGGCCGACATTGCGGAGCTGAAAGAAGTCGTCTTGAGGCTTCAGGCGCGCGCGTCAAATCTCGCACGTGTCAAACGTGTCAAAGCTTTTGCACCTCTACTTTTCGCCCGCGTGTGCGAGGCAGGGTTTCAGGACAAGACAGCTCAAGAGAGCTGTTGGGCAGCCGAGAAGGCCCTTTGATCGATGTTTTTTAAAGTGCTATGTGGCAACACACAACACACCCTTGCTTTGTTGACTGCTCTCTGTTCGGTTCTGTCACCTTTGAGGCCCAGCTGCAGCAAGATCTCGCAAGCGCAGCCGCAGCTTCCCAGGAGTGTCGTGTGCAGCATGCTGCGTGGTGTGACGTGGTTTGTCAACTGTGTGTGAACCAGTAGCAAATCCGCGAATTTTGCGCGCGCGTCGCATACCCAGGGCAGGATAGCGCAGAAGCTGGCCCACGGTTGAAAACAATTTGCAATGCACTCTGGCCTTCCGGATTGCATCTGCCCGGCGGGCAGATTAGCGCAGATTGCATCTGCCCGGCCCCACCCCCCCACCCTCCAAAGCATGAGCTGAGTAAGAAAAGGCTGAAGAAAAGAAAAGAAAAGTACACAGTGACGTGAGTGTGAAATGCGTGAACCAGCAGGCAAGTGCGACCGTTCGTTGTGAAAACTTTGGAAAGTTGGGGTGCTCTTACGTGGTTCTGTCCACTCCTGGATCCGATTGCACTTGCCCTGCCCCGCCCCCCTCCAAAGCATGACTTGAGCATATCGGCGGGTGGAGGAGTGCTCACAGGAGTTGGCCCGCAACGAGGCGGGGGAAGCTTCTTTCGTAGCGGGGGCGATCGGGCGGCTGTGAAGGGGAGCCTGGTGCGAGGCCAAGGTGGCGGAGCTGCAAGAGGCAGTCGCCAGCCTTCAGGCGCCTGCAAAACGGACACGAATCGCATGACACGCAACTACAAGTAAGTAAATGTTACACTAGAAAGTCAAATCACCAGAAGGACGCATTGCGTTGCTGAACGTTGCTCCGGCAGGCCTATGTGAAGGAGCAGGACGTCGCCCTGCTGAGCATGCATTACGAGCTCTACGAATTCAAGGCACATCTCGCAAAGCAGATCTTTGAGCAGGATCCGACATCGGCTTTCCGGCTTGTCTTGTCCTTGTGGAGTTGACGCCGCAGGCGCAGGTCCACGGGGCGGCCAAGAAGGACTCCAACCGCGACGTGTGATGGGAATGCTCTGTCCTCTGTCCAGTGTACGTCGAAGCGCGGCTTCCAAATGTAAAAGTCATCTCCGATGGATGTCCCTCTCGTGCTCGAGGCGCCATTTTTCGTTGACGGCATGGTGTGACATGCCGAAGTCATGCCGATGTGCCTATAGGAGGAGCCGGAGGAGCTCTGGGACATCTCTGGTTCCAGCCAATGCTCACCTTGCTCGGCGAGGCCAGAAGTTCTCGGGGTTGTTCACTTGGCTGTCGGAAGTGGGACTGCGAAGAGAAGCGCACGCCCCCTGCAGGGCTTCGAGCTCCCGGGACGCAGTCCTGCCGGGCGCCGTGCAGGAAGAGCTTGTACTGTACTGTACACTTTTGCAGTACTGCCTATACATGCCACGAGCCTCCAATCTTTCCGCATGTTTGTTTTGACCGTGCTTGTGGTGTTCTTGTAGGAGGTAGCGCAGCAGACCGCGTCATCTCGCAGAGCACCCGTCGTGCTCTCACATACCTGACATGAAGCACCGCGTGAGCCATGCGTCTCGCCATTCTTTTTACTGAATCTTCCTAGGTGATCACACAGTGGCAGGATGCTGGGCTGTGGGGCCGTACCAAAGCATCTTTGCAAGATGGCCGCTTGGGGCAGGCGCGGAACATTGTGCTTCGAGTGACCGCGAGTGATGTGAAGCAGATTGATTTGGGGCTGGCTAGGCAAACCATGGCTTAGAGCGGAAAGACAGCCTGGCGAAGGAGTGTTGCCCTTGCAGATGATCTTTCTGTTGAGTGTCTCCAGTTTTCGATGGAAGCTGTTCTCAAGTTGCAGGACATTTTGCGGCAGTACGTTGAGCGCTATGGGAAAAACCCGGAGCGTCCGGCACCTTGGCTTAGCAACGACCCCCCCTTGCGCACAGGGCATGTTCACCCCCGACCCTCCACCCAGCGCATGGAGAGATCAAGCTGCTTCGTCTCTTGCAGCAGGCTTGTCGCACGCATTGCGCAATGCTCATGCGCCCCCGCGCCAAGGACCAGCTTACAAAGTTTGCGCAGAATATCGAGCAGCGCCTGCCCTTCGCGTGGGCACGCGATGTCCTGGCAACTTAGCAGACTTGGTGCTTGTTGTTGGTGTGATATTGTGTGATTCATGGGGGAACGGGGCGTCTCTAGACCTCAACTAAGAAGTCGCCTGAATTTTAGTCTGGCGATATAGCTGTAGCATCCCGAGAAAACGCGAAGAGCCGTCACAAACAAACACACCCAAGGAAAGCCAATTGAATCTTAATTTGGCTTGGGCATGCTTGTGAGTTTTGCCCAACTTTTTTGGTCCTCTTCACCGGGTCCGACGCTCCCACCTGCTGGCTTGCTGCGTGAGAGCTCGCAGTCCCTAGCCTCGAAGTGCAACCATGGCCGGTGTTGAGAAGGCACTCCGATCGAGTCTTCAGTTTGTCCGTGGTGCTGTCTGGATGAAGCAGCAGTGCCCCGAAAGAAGGGAGCTCAGCTAAGAAGAGCGTGTCGTATTCGCTGTGACCAGATGTGCTTGATCCAGAGACTCATGTAAGGCAGCTGCCTGACTGACAAGCCACCACACCCTGGCACCCTCGAACGTGGAGGCGCTTTCGGCAAACACGTCACACTTCATGACAGCCAAGCCATTCTGGGATCTTTCTTGCGGGCTTGGGACGCACCTTTATCGGCCAAGGATCGCCGATTAAATCAAGCAGCAAGGATTGCAGCACGAAAAGTCGAAGACGTGCGCCGTGGTGCCATGTGTTGTTCGGAACTTATTCTTTTCCCGTCCAGGCTTTGCAGCGCGCCTGGCTGAGCGGCAAGCTTGCGAGCCTCAAAAAAAGCATCGCTGCAGCCCAGGCTCTTTCGCGGGTGTCTGTGGAGGTGTAAGCAGTCAAGAGGTTCGCTCGTAGTCTGAGGGCATCACCACCAACCAGAAGAATCCCAACACTGATGTTGTTTTGGCTCTTGTGCTTCCGCGATCTTCCCGGCCTCACGGGTCTCACGCCCTGACGGGCTGTCTGTTGTTCTGCGCTGGATTTATCTGTAGTTTTCTGTTGCCCAACTAGTGAAGCAGTCCGCGCGGCCTGTGCCATCCCGGTGTAGCTCTGCTTAGCGTTGACCCTCCTGCTCTTGAAGACACCCCCCGCCGCCCCGTCGGCCGTAGGCCCGTAGGCTCTGCGCTGCTCTGCTCGACGTATTGCATAGCTGCATATAGCTCTTGACTTGACGTACCTGACCTCGCCGCTCGCCTCACCACAGGGAAGAAGTTCAACTTCTAAGTTGCGCATGGACTGCTGTTGCCACGGTTCTTATAGCATGGGCTTCGGGGTCTGGGTGTCTCAGCGAAGTTTTTTGCGGTGGTCATGGCGCTGTCCAGAGCGCCCTTGCCTGGGGTAGCGCAACCGGTGGTGGCAGCTCGGCAGCAGTTCGGCGAGCATGTGCATGGTGCCATGATAACTTTTCGAGGACCATTCTAGGATCTGAACACGTTTGACACTTTGGATTGAGATCCGCTGTGCATCGTACCGTTTGTACCGTGCTCCAGACATCCCCTGCTTCATCTCACATGAGGTCCGGCCCCCTTATTGTGCGAGACTGAGACTGGCACCCTGCGCAGCCTGCAGTCCTTCCCATCTCACGGTCCTCAAACACCAGGCCCACCGTGTGCGGTCATCCGGCCCATGATGTGCCCGCTCGGTGCCCTGCATGGTGTGTTGTGTGAGCTCCCGTGCGCTCTCAGGCCAAAGGCCATGGTCAAGCCGTAGCAGGGCCGAAGTGGCGGAGCTCAAAGAAGCCGTCATGAGGCTTGCTTGAGTCAAGCCTCATGACGGCTTCTTTGAGCTCTGCCATTTCGGCCCTGCTACAAATGTCCGCCGGCCACCTGGTTGCCAGCCAGCTTCTGCAAGTACTCCTCCACGGGCCAGACAAGTTGCATGGCCCAGGAGTACTTACAGGAGCTGGCTCGCAACCAGGTGGCCTGGGACGCTTGTCGTAGGGGCTTCATCAACGGGAGACTCATATATGGGAGATCACGCAGCAGACCGCGCCGGCTCACAGAGCACCGGTGCCTTGACGTGCCTGATATGAAGTGTTGTGTGTGTCAGCCATGCATCTGGCCATGCATCTGTCTACCGAGACTTGAAAGCTTTACTGCCTAAATGAGACCGTCGTACCAAAGCATACCAAAGCACCCTCGCGATTGGAAGATCGTGCGAGCCCTCATTGTCGGATTCGCAGTGTCCAGATGTGTTCGATCCAGAAACTGCTCATGTAAGGCAGCTGCCTGATAGACATGCCGGCAGCGTGCCACCACACCTCGGCGCCTCGAACGTGGAGGCACGTCGGCAATCACGCAGACACACTTCATGACATCCAAGTCAGTCCTTTCTATGTGCTTAGGAGGCGCCTTTATCGGCCAAGGATTGCTGCTAAGCAGCAAGGATTGCAGCACCAGGAGTCGAAGATATGCGCCGTGAGTGCATGTTGCTATGATTTGCATTTCCCGTCCAGGCTTTGCAGAGCGCATGGCCTCCGAGCGGCAAGCTTCGAGCCTCAAAAATCGCAGCGCTGCAGCCCAGGTTCTTTCGCGGGTGTCAGTGGAGGTTTAATTTAAGCAGTCCAGGGTTTCACTCGTAGTTGGACGGCATCACCACCAACCAGAAAAAGATCTTCACGGCCTCACGGGTCTCAAGCCCTGACGAGCTTTCAGGCTGTTGTTCTGTGCCGGATTTACCTGTAGTTTTCTGCTGCCCAATCCCGGTGTAGCAGCACTGCTTAGCGTGGACCCTCCTGCTCTTGAAGACACCCCGCCCCCCGGTGGCCGCAGGCCCGCAGGCTCTGCGCTGCTCTGCTCGACATATGGCATAGCTGCAACTTGACGTACCTGACGTACCTGATGTACCTCGCCGCTCGCCTCACCACAGGGAAGAAGTTCAACTTGCGCATGTCCATGGACAGTGCTGTTGCTACAGTTGCTAAAGCATGGGCTTCGGGGTCTGGGTGTCTCAGCGAAGTTTTTTGTTGGCGCCGCTTTTCAGAGCGCCCTTGCCTGGGGTAGCGCAACCGGTAGTGGCAGAACGATTCTAGGACCATTCTAGGATACATGTCTGACACTTTGGTTTGAGATCCGCTTTGCTTTTCGGTCAAGCCTTTCTGTCTAACCAGGTGTCACGAACCGTCAATTGGAAACCCGGAGCTCGATAATTAGCGCGCTCGCTTTGTTGCTGCTATTGTTTGTTGTGCTTGATGTGCTTGTGCTGTTTGTTAGTTGCTTTGCCCACTTCTTCTGCTCTCTCTCGAAGGTGGAAACGGTTTGTGCACACTGCTCTCCTTCCATGCTGAAACTGTACAGGCAAATACAGGTGTGTACACTTGTGTGCCATTGTGTAGAGTGTAAAGGCTCGGCGGTAAGGCCCCAGGTTTTCAAAACTGCGCAGTTGATGTGCCGAGGCCTCCCTTGCCGATGCTTCTGGGAGAGGAGGCGGGGATTTCAACTCGCAAGAACTCTGCACTTCGCCAAGCTTCAAGCCCCATAAAAACTGCTGGGTCAGGATGCCCGCAAATTGGAAGTTCAAACATCCAAAGCGACGGCGGGTCGTTGGAGCATACTGGCCTCTGCCTCTGCTTCCCCAAACGTGCAGGTTCCGGCGACCACGGCCAGTGAAGAATATGTGGCGGCCCTCAAAGGTGAGTTCCATGCAACCCTGGTCCGTGTCTTACTTGATGTCCGAGCCACCCGCACCTCTAGTTAAAGCGCCTGCACGTGGGAGGCACGCGCCCTGGACAAGACATCAGCGGAGAAGGCCTCTGATCACTGTTGCGACAGCTCGCGTGGCGCTGGCCACTGCGATTAGCACGGGTGCAAGCGCCGCAGTAGCTTCTCAGATTGAGTCTGAGTTGAGCAGTATAGCTGCTACAGCAGAGTAAAGCAGACTTTGGGCCTGACCGTGCGAGGCGGTAAAGTAAAGCCCACGAGCTGGATTCTCCTTGAGTTTTATAGTGCTCTTGCGTGGCTTTGTCCGCGGGGACGCTTGTAGCAGGGGCTTGATCAACGGGAGACTCACACGGGAGGCCGAAGTGGCAGAGCTCAAAGAAGCAGTCCGGTGGCTTGAGGCGCGCGCGCGTCAAAGCGGCTGCATCCGTGATGTATCACAGTCGCAATCTGCCACCTCTGCTGGCACTTACGTGTGGGATGCATGACTTCTGAGATCTTCTGAGGCAGCTGCCAGGTGCTGGGAGGTGGAGAAGGCCACTGATCAGCGTTGTGGCTGTTCCAGTGGTGACTGCCACGGTAATGTACGTCTCCTTCTGAGGCCGAGCTGCAACAAGAACTCGCCATCGCAGCAGCTGCTTCTCAGGACGGCATTTGCATTGAGCGTCAGCTAGTGAGTATCACGTAGCGGCCAATCCTGTGCCAAGGGTTTGCGCACGCATCCCGGGCATCAGGGGCCTCGGTGGGTGGCTGGGGGGTGTTGTCTTCTTGCTCGTTGAGGGCCCTGGGCCCCCAGAATCCCGCAACGATGTGGCGCTTTTCGGTGGCCTCTTCCTGCGCTTTGAGGGGTGGGTCCGTGTGTGGCCGCGTGGGTGCGGGGCTGCGCAGATCTGTGGCCGGAGAAAGGCCTCGTTGAGATGCCGCCGACCCTAAGAGAACAATTGCGGCTCTGCCCGGCCCCGGATGCTATCAAGTAGTTCCCAAAGCACGAGTGAACCGTATGTGGTCCGTGGGCCCAAACATGTAGGTGGGAGCCTTGGTGCGCGTCTTCTGCGGCTGTCATGTCTCTTCCTTGATTCAAAATGGCCTGTGAAGTTTTGGCTTCAGGAGGTAACTGGCTTGTACAGACCAACCCGGCTTGGGCACAGTGGTCCTTGTCTTGATGTCTGGAGCCATGGCATGGCTGTGCATCCTGATGACGCTGGTGGCTACCTGCGCAGCGAAGGAGCCAAGCCACTGGTGCCAGGTGGGAGCATGTTATGGGGCTCAGGGCTGTCATGGGCAGTGGGGTATAGGGGCAGGGGGTTTACGGGTCTGGCGAGCTTGACTTTGATAGGTAATTAGAGCTTTCAAGGTGGTCTTGAACAGAAGCTTGGAGCCCTAAGGTGCCGACGGGTTCCTGTCATGGCCACAAATCGCAGCTGGTGGAAGTGGCAATGCCAGCTTTCATGAAAGACTGGATCCATATGGTACGAGTAACGAACACTCCAGATGTAGCAGATTGTCGCGAATCCGGCATTTGCGGATTCTCGTGGGACAGTGTCCGATATGTCGACTGGGATGGAGATGGTGACCTTGATGTGGTGACTGCTTATCCCAAGCGCCCGTGGCCAGTCGGCATGCCAGACAGCATACCTGTTGGGCCGCTGATGCTGATCGAGCAGCTGTCCAATGGAAGTGCGCGCCCACACATCTTGCTAGAGTTTCTGGGTTCTTGTTAAGGAGTTTAATTAAAGTTATCATCATAGGGCACTTGAGTAAAAGGTTTCTTTATTATTTTCGCTTAAACCAAATCCCTAGGTTTGGCATGGGTGCCGATGATGTGAAAAGATCCGGGGAATCTTTGGAGGTGACGGACTGGGACCAGGATGGCGACTGGGACGTGATCTTCTCTGACCACTTCTTGCAGAGCCAGGAAGACAAGATAGTGCTTTTGGAGCAATCTTCCGAAGGCTTTCGGAAGAAAATCCTCGCAAATGTCACGCACTGCGCGGGGGAGATCGCGCCGGTTCTACAGACGATTGACTTCGACGGGGATTCAGATCTTGACATCATTTATTGTGGCCGTTTCTTTGAAAGAATCACGCCAGATGAGGTTATTGAGAGACCTGGAAATCAATCCCCGCTGGAGACGCTTGGAAGTCGCCCCTCCATGTCGGTCACCGTGCTAGACTGGGACTCCGACGGGGACCTCGACTTCCTGGTGGACAGGCTGAGTGAGCAATGCGAAGGACCGCGTGGTTGCATTGTGGATCTCGTCCTGCTGACCCAGCAAGCAGATGGAAGCTTTACAGAAAAAACTGGTGACGAGAATCCCTTCCAGCAAGGCTTCGAACGGTGGCATGGGTGGTCTACGGTTTCCAGTCGTCCGCAGTTAGTGCAGCAGTCAGGTCAAACAATGCTGATCTTGAAGGACTATGGGTTATCGTTTTATGAGGTTCGCCGGCAGGACGTGCTTATCCCACGGGAACAGACACTCAACGAGTTTGCCGGCGTTTCAGTGGGCTACGGCAGTGAACCTGTGATTGTTGACTGGGACAGCGATGGCAGAATGGACCTGATAACCGTTGATCTGGACGGAGGCTTGCGCTACTTCAAGCAGAAAGATGTGGGCATGGTTGAGGAGAAATTTGATTTCAGCAATGTAACTCTGGGCCTGGAGCCCTGGCATTTCTCATCTACAACACCCAAACACAATCGGCATCTCTACTTGGGGCGCACAATTCGGCTGCATGCTACTGACTGGGATCAGGATGGTGATGTGGATCTCATTGTGGCCATCTCCCAGGGAGAGCTGCGCTACTTTGAGCGGCAAGGGTCGGCTCTGATTCAAAGGATCGGGCAGGACAACCCGTTCGCTGAGATCTCTATCAATGCCACTGACCTACAGCAGGCCGCGAAGCCATTTTTTGATTGGGAGCCTCTTTTAGTACAGCCAATGGCAGTAGACTGGGACTCAGATGGTGATCTTGATCTGGTGCTGGGTCCAGTCGGTCGGTATTTTGAGCGCCTGCGCAATGGAAGCTTAATGGAATGGCCACTGCAGGACAGCCCGTTCGCCAACGTGTCGCAAAAGCCGGATGAAGAAAAGTTTCAGCTTGGCAAAGATGGGTGGTGGGGCAAGACAAACAGGGCCAGGACCCAAGGCCTCTGGAGGTTTGTAGATTGTGATCGTGACGGGGACCTCGATTTGGTGCGCCTTCGCATCTGGATCAAAGGATATCGGGGATTCGACGAAGCCGTCCTCCAGTCTTGTGAGCGTCTTGCTGACGGTGGCTTGGATTGTGAGACCAACCTGACCTGCGGAGCAGGTGTGACCTTTGTGGGGGATGACTTCGGCCTGATGGATATTGGCTATTGGGAGGAGGAGGCCGTGTTGCAGGTGATCCAGGTGGTGAAGAGTGGCACCATCGTTTGGAAATGGGATTTCTGCATCCCCCAGGACCCATGCCTCTCCAAGGGCGTGTGCATGCCGTCAGGTCGGTGCAGCTGCATCACGGGGCACCGCCTCTCTGACTGTTCTGGCTGCCAGAAGGGCTTCTATACCAGGCAGGAGGTCCTTGGTGTTGCGCACTCTTGTGAGTCATGTGCAGGAGCTGACGAAAGCGGCACAACTCAATGCTCCAATCGAGGATTTTGCCTTGACGACGAGGCTCTCCAGCGGGATGTGCGGAGGGCCATGACGGATGCAATTCGTGGGAACGGTTCATGTATTTGCACTGAGCCGAGCTTTGGCGGAACAGATGCCTTGGGCCGCAGCTCTTGCAGCGAGGGCGTATGTCCACCAGGAACTCGTGAGGTGCCTATGCTAGTTGATGGCAACAGCAGCACCCTTCGGGTCTGCCAACCCTGTGCTGCGGGCTTCGTGTCCTCCAACACAACTTCGGCGTCGAACATCGCTTCTTCCCCCGGTGGGGGCTGCACTGCCTGCCCCCCCGGCTCCTACGCCTCCTCCGCTGGCAGTTCCGCCTGTTCTCCTTGCCCTGCCGGATCTACGACCGGCTTCGCCGGGAGCAGCAGCTGTGAGAGATGCCCTCAGGGCCGCTTTGCGGGACCTGGGAGTTCAAATTGTCAACGGTGCGCTCCAGGAAGCATTGCGCAGCTTGTTGGCAGCAGCGAGTGTACCGCATGCTCAGAGCAACTCTTTGCTGTTGCTGCGCTAGACCAGCGTGGCTGCATTTGGGATCCTGTTGCTGTCACCTGTGCTGTCTTGACCCTGATCTTTGCTGTGGCCTTTGGGAACTTACTGGTTCGAGCTTTCTGCCACGTGGTTTCCATTGTGGATATCTCTCTGCAAGGGGAACAGGTGTTGATCACCACCCAGCACCCTCACAGGATCATGCCATGGAAGAGCCTGGGAACGGAGGTGACCCTCAGCGGCACATCCATTCCATGGCTGGACAGACCAGGCGAAAAACCTTTCCGGGCATGCGCTTCCGGCAGTAACCAGTTGGTCTTGCTTCACCCAGAAGGCAAGATCGGTGCCTCGGACACGTCCAGCGGCAGCTTGCGGATTCCAGTCAGATGGGCCTTCACGGCAACTGGATACGTGTACGTTCCGCTGCTTGTCTGGCTCACACTGCTAGCGATTGCAGCAGTTGCATGTGCACGGGTTGCAAGATTGTCGTTCTCGGCGTTAGCCTGGGGTGCTTTGATTATTCTTGCAGCCGTTCTCAGCATGCAGGGCTACTGGTATCTTCTCAAACCGCACACTCCTTTGGAGAAGCGCCGGGGGCAGTTCACGAAAGGCCTGGAGAAAAGGCTTCGCCGGTGCAAGCGAGGTCCTGAACGCGCCATCACCGCAAAGCAATTGGTGGACTTCGTTGAATTCTTCCAAGGTTTCATATTGGAGCGCACCATGTACTACGTGAACGGCAACATCATCCAGCCACTTACGAAAAGGGATGCCGTCTCCTTTGCTGAGATGGTTGGGCCTAGTCCCGTCGCCTGGTTCGTAAGCCACTACTGGGGAACTGCCCTGCGCCATTTCGCTGACTCGATCCGCAAGCATGCGCAGCTCATCCACGGCGATGACTGGAAGACGAACGCATACTGGATCTGCACCTTCAGCAACAACCAGTGGGCAGTTGAAGAGGCAAGCCGCAGGAAACAATTAGAATGCAATGTCATGGGTAGCAGGTTGTTCGGATTGCAGTATTGAGATAGAAGTGGCCAGACGCGGTCAACATGATCTTGCATGCACTGTACTCGTACCAGGTTGCTTTCCTGGTTGCGTAGCGGGCGCGTAAATTATAAGCCTGCGAAGTTTATCGTTTAGGCAAGCTGCTTGGAATATGATTCTGAGGCAACCACAAATAAGCTCAACATTCGAACCTGAGCGTACCTTGAAGCAACTCGCCACGAGACCCTGCAGACTTGAGAAAGCATAACAGACATGTGTTCGTTCGTCTCAGTTCACAAGCACCTGAGAATATCCACTATCGCAAAGAGTTTTCCCTGCATTCTGATACCCATGATCTAACATGTTCAGGAGCTTGGCGATGGCCAGTGGCAGGAGTCTTCCTTCTACCTTGCACTTCGAGATGCGCGCTGCCGAGGAACTGCTATGGTCTTGGATGAGTTCGCCCTTCCGCTGACACGCGCGTGGTGCCTCTTTGAAGTGTTGCAGACACTCTTGCTCTCCCAGCAGGACACGGGCTTCGGAGGTCTTCAGTTCTGTACGTCTACCGGCGTGATCAATGCGGGCCAGTCAGGCACAGATGTCGCCATGGCAACGGCCAAGCGCCTGGCAAACTTGGACATGCGCAGCGCTGACGCAAGTAACCCAGACGACCTGCGCATGATTCGGGATCTGGTGGAGCGAATGCCCGGCGGCTTTGACTCCATGAACAGCTTTGTGCGCAGCTCCATGCGAACAGCGCTGATGGCCGTCAACAGCCAGTTCGTGAAAGAGTTCCAAGACTTACGGACATTCTCGCTCAAAACTCAAGGGTGGAGACGGAGAGTGATGATACTGATTTGCCTCGTATGACTGGCGCAGAGCCCGCCCCTGCACTTCCAACTCTGCTGCAGCGCGGCGCCTCAAGCCACACGAAGACCAAGACTGGGTGAAGAAGCAACACTCCCACAAGCCGCTTGGTGCCGACTACTGCGCGCTGAAGCCACTGCGAAAATTCGTGCAAGCTGTCTGTGCATAACAAGTCGACACGTTCTTGCCTGCACAGCGTTTTAGAGGCAGAAGTCCATGCACAAATTCATGACCAAAGATGAGGTGCTGTTCCTGCACACCGTATAGAGGCTGAAGCCCACTTTTGAGAGGCCGAGGTCCATGAGCCAGCTCATGCTTTTCCTGTGCACGGCTACAAGACAGCACACCCCGCGCTTCAAGCTGCTGCCCCACAAAGAAGACCGGGTGAAGAAACAACATTCCCACAAGCCGCTTGGTGCCGACTACTGCGCGCTGAAGCCACTGCGAAAATTCGTGCAAGCTGTCTGTGCATAACAAGTCGACACGTTCTTGCCTGCACAGCGTTTTAGAGGCAGAAGTCCATGCACAAATTCATGACCAAAGATGAGGTGCTGTTCCTGCACACCGTATAGAGGCTGAAGCCCGCTTTTTAGAGGCCGAGGTCCATGAGCCAGCTCATGCTTTTCCTGTGCACGGCTACAAGACAGCACACCCCGCGCTTCAAGCTGCTGCCCCACAAAGAAGACCGGGTGAAGAAACAACATTCCCACAAGCCGCTTGGTGCCGACTACTGCGCGCTGAAGCCACTGCGAAAATTCGTGCAAGCTGTCTGTGCATAACAAGTCGACACGTTCTTGCCTGCACAGCGTTTTAGAGGCAGAAGTCCATGCACAAATTCATGACCAAAGATGAGGTGCTGTTCCTGCACACCGTATAGAGGCTGAAGCCCACTTTTGAGAGGCCGAGGTCCATGAGCCAGCTCATGCTTTTCCTGTGCACGGCTACAAGACAGCACACCCCGCGCTTCAAGCTGCTGCGCGTGATCTGCAAAGGGGATGGGCAAGTTGACTGGTACATTTTCCATCAGAGTTGCTCTTTCAACAACGGCTCCACAGCAGTGGTGATGACGATGACGATGATGATGTCTCGGTCATTGCCGTTATCAAGCATAGTCAATTGCCAGTACCCACTCCCCACGATATCCCCCTGGCAGACTCCAAATTCGACCTTGGTGCAGCTACTTTGCCGGGAGGCCGGGAGGCCCGGGAGTATTGAAGGTCTCGGCACTTGCCATAGTTGCGTCGTCCGCAGGCCCTCCAAAGAGCCCGGGGAGGAAGGCCGGGGATGCCAGAGCTCTCACGGCGAATCCATGTGTTTGCCTTGCTGAGGTTGTTGATTGGCTGATATTTTGAGTAGTGCTCCTCATCTCGATCCTTTTCGAGGGGCCAGCGGTCCTCACACTTCATGACAGCCAAGCCGTTCTGTGATCCTTCTTGCGGGCTTGGGAGGCACCTTTACCGGGCAAGGATCGCCGCTAGTTAAGCAGCAAGGATTGCAACACAGGAGTCGAAGACATGCGCTGTGATGCCATGTGTTGTTCGGAAGTTATTCTTTTCCCGTCCAGGCTCTGCAGTGCGCGTGGCCTCCGAGCAGCAAGCTGAGAGCCTCAAAAAGCGCATCGGTGCACCCCAGGTTCTTTCGCGGGTGTCAGTGGAGGTGTAACTAATCAAGACAGTTAACGGGGTTCGCTCGTAGTTTGAGGGCATCACCTCCAACCAGAAGAATCCTAACATTAATCTTGTTTTGGCTTTTGTGCTTCCCGCGATCTTCCCAGCCTCACGGGTCTCACGCCCGGGCCGTTGTTCTGCGCTGGATGTACCTGTATGTTTCTGTTGCCCAACTAGTTCTAAAGTCCGCGCCTGCCTGTGCCATCCCGGTGTAGCAGCACTGCTTAGCGTGGACCTGCTCTTGAAGACACCCCCTGCCGCCCCGTCGGCCGCAGGCCCGTAGGCTCTGCGTTGCTCTGCTCGACATATTGCATAGCTGCATATAGCTCTTGACTTGACGTACCTGACCTCGCCGCTCACCTCACCAGAGGGAAGAAGTTCAACTTCTAAGGTGAGCATGGACAGTGCTGTTGCCACGGTTCTTATAGCATGGGCTACTGGGGTCTGGGTGTCTCAGCGAAGTTTTTTTTGCGGTGGTCATGGCGCTGTTCAGAGCGCCCTTGCCTGGGGCAGCGCAACCGGTGGTGGCGGCTCGGCAGGAGTTCGGCGAGCATGTGCACGGTGCCATTATCACTTTTCGAGGACCATTCTAGGATCTGAACACGTTTGACACTGTGGTTTGAGATCCGCTGTGCTTTTCTGGCTAACCAAGGTGTCACGAACAATCAGTTGGAAACCCGGAGCTCGACAGCATGGTACCGTTTGTACCGCCGTTTGTAAGGCCGTTTGTACCATCGCTGTACGTGCTCCAGACATCTTCAGACATCCCCTGCTTCATCTCACGTGGCTGAGGTCCGGCCCGCTTCTTGTGCGAGACTGAGACTGGCACCTTGCAAAGCCTGATGCGCAGCCAGCAGTCCTTGGTCCTTCCCATCTCACGGTCCCCAAGCACGAGGCCCACTTTGCGTGTGCGGTCGCAGACGCCGCCACGGTTCAAGAGTGCGGCCCGTCTGCGTTTGAAAATGCGCTTCAAGTGCGCATCAAGGCGTGCGTTTCAAGGCGGCCACAGAGAATTCGACTGGGAACCCGCCAACTGGACCAAGGTCACCCGTCCCTGCGGCAATGCGGCCGCCCAGACATGTCTTGCATCGAGCAGCATCTACAGTGACCATAGTGCTTGGGGTCCCGACTGGGGGAGAGTTGGTGCACGGATGTGCACTGGGAGTGACCGGCGCCCGGGCCAGGAAGGGTCACCGTTTGTGACGCCGCGACGCGCCGGGGCCTTCCTGGGGCCATCCGGCCTGTGATGTGCAAGCTCGGTGCCCTGCATGGCGTGTTGTGCGAACTTCTGCGCGCGCTCTCAGGCCAAAGGCCATGCTGAAGCCAGGGCCGCGATCTTGGAGCCTTGCAGGGAGTGGAGCCTGATGACGCCATGAAGTTGTTGTGAAGCCCGGCACTGAGCTGAGGCTGCAAGCCTGGCTTCCCTGACCCCGATGAAGGTCAGGAGCTTTAGCCGGGCCCAGCCGGTTTTTGCACGGGTTGGGAGCCTCGCAGCCACATCGCAGCCTTAAAGCGAAGCTCCACAAGGCGGTCAAGGTGGTCAAGCCCGGACCGGCGGAAGCGCCGCGGGCCGAGAACCGCAGGATAATCGTCGAAAGGGCGGACGAGGCCAGCGTTGTGGCTGGTGGTATACTGCTGTGGGGGAGGGCAGAAGAGAACGGTGAAACATCAGGAGTCCCTCGCAAACCTGATAGAACCCACGAACCCGAATGCAGAAAGCAGTCGCCTATAACGTAACAACAACGCAATATAAACGAAACGTCGGTCAATCGGATCATTGTGCATGAAGTTCTTGCGTAGTCGAACCCACATCTAACCCACCCGCACCCCACCGACCCTCACCCCACCCACCCACATCCCACCCACCCACGTCGGTGGCGGTGGTCTTGTGGTGCTGTGGTGGTGGTCCGCCGTGGTACCTTGTGGCTGTGGTACCTCGCGGTGGTGGTTCGTGGTGGTGGTCCGTGGCGGTGGTCCGTGGTGGTGGTCCGTGGTGGTGGTGGTGGTGTTCGTGGTGGGATGTGGGTGGGTGGTGTGGGTGGACAGGTGGTGGTGGTGGTACCTGGTGGTGCTGGTTGTTGTGCTTGCTGTGCTTGTGCCATTTGTTACCTCTTGCTTTGCCCGCTTCTTCTGCTCTGTCGAAGGTGGAAACGGTTTGTGCGCACTGCTCTCCTTCCATGCTGAAACTGTACAGGCAAAAACAGGTGTGCACGAACACTGGCGTGCCATTGTGTAGAGTGTAAAGGCTCGGCGGTAAGGCCCCAGGTTTTCAAAACTGCGCAGTTGATGTGCCGAGGCCTCCCTTGCCGATGCTTCTGGGAGGGGAGGCGGGGATTTCAACTCGCAAGAACTCTTCAATTCGCCAAGCTTCAAGCCCCGTCAAACTGCTGGGTCAGGATGCCTGCAAACTTGCAGTTCAGCCGTCCAAAGCTAAGGCTCGTCGTTGGAGCATACTGGCCTCTGCCTCTGCTTCCCCAAACGCGCAGGTTCCGGAGACCACAACCAATGATGAGTATGTGGCGGCCCTCAAACGTGAGTTCCATGCAGCCCTGGTCCGTGTCTTACTTGGTGTCCGAGCCACCCGCGCCTCTACTTGTGGCGCCTGCATGTGGGAGGCACGCACCCTGGACAAGGCATCAGAGGAGAAGGCCTCTGATCAGTGTTGCGGCAGCTCGCGTGGCGTTGGTGACGGCTCCGTTGCGTGCTCCCACGTTTGAGGCCGAGCTGCAGCAGGAACTTGCAAGCGCAGCGACGGCTTCTCAGGAGCGACCCTGCGCATCCCTGCGGTTAGCACAGGGTTCTCAGGATCGATCTGCGTTGAGAGTAAAGCAGACAGCAAAGTAAAAGCTGGCCCACGCGCTTGATTCAGCTTGATTATCTTAGAGTTTTACAGGGCTCTTGCGTGGCCTTGTCCGCTCCCGGATTGAATTTGCGTTGCCCAGAGTCCCCAAAGCGTGAGTGAACCGCGAGTGGTCCGTGGAGGAGCACTTGCAGAAGCTGGTTGACACCCAAGCGGCCGGGGACATTTGTAGCAGGGGCTTCATCAAGGGGACACTCATATGGGAGGCCGAAATGTCGGAGCTCAAAGAAGCCGTCATGAGGCTTGAGGCCCGTCAAAGCGGCTGCATCCGTGATGTATCAAATCGTAATCTCAAATCGCAATCTGCACCTCTGGCGCTTACGTGTGGGATGCATGACTTCCGCACGAGGCAGCTGCCAGGTGCTGGGAGGCGGACAAGGCCACTGATCAGCGATGTGGCTGTTCCAGTGGTGACTGCTACGGTGATGTACGTTTGCTTCTGAGGCCGAACTGCAGAAAGAACTCGCCATCGCAGCAGCGGCTTCTCAGGACGGCTAGTGAGCATCAGGTAGCAAGCAATCCTGTGCCAAGGGCGTGGGTGCAGGGGTGGTGCAGGGCTGCGACAGATCTGTCGCCGGGGGAAGGTCCTGTTGAGGTGCCATGGAGCGTCAGATGCGTCAGCTAGCAGCTAGTGAGTGTCACGTAGCAACCTATCCGGTTGCCAAGGGCTTGCGCACGTATCGCGGGCATCAGGGGCCTGGGTCAGTGGATGGGGGGTGGTGTCTTCCTGTGCGTTGAGGGCCCTGGGCCCGCGAAATCCTGCAACGACGTTGCGCTTTTTCGGTGGCCTCTTCCTGTGCTTTGAGGTGTGGGTCCCGTGTAGCAGCCAATCCTCACACAGGGCAGGGTAAAGTAGAAGCTGAACAATGAGAATGCCCGTCCGAGTGAACCGTCTGTTGTCCGTGGAGGAGTACTTGCAGAAGCTGGTCCTGAACCAGGCGGCCGTGGGACATTTGTAGCAGGGCTTCATCAGCGTGAGATTCATGGGAGGCCGAATTGACAGAGCTCAAAGAAGCAGTCATGAGGCTCGAGGCGAACACGTCAAAGCGGACGCATCAACCGTTGCAATCAGCACCTGCCTGCATGTGGGAGGCACGGCATCTGGACAAGACCGATGCTAAAGAAAGCTGTTGGGCAGCCGAGAAGGCCTTTGATCAAACGGACTAACATATACTTTAAGTGTTGTTGCAGCGCCTAGCTGTGGTGTCTTTACTGTTATACATTCGAGGCCGAGATGCAGGGAGATCTCGCAAGAGCAGCAGCAGCTGCTCAGGAACGATTTCTATGTTCAGCAGAAGCTGATTGGTGTGACACAGCCAGTCCTGGCGCAGCGTCCACGCGCACATGTTACCGTGACATAGAAGCTGGCCAACGAGTTTATCCGTCTTGGAGTCTTATAGGGCTCTTGCGTAGCCTTGTCCGCTCCCGGGTTTGAACCTGCCATGCTCCAGCGTCCCCAATTGCAAGAGTGAACTGTGTATGGGCCGTGGAGGAGTACTTGAAGGAGCTGGCTGGCAATCAGGTGGCCGGGGGACGTTTGTAGCAGGGGCTTCACCAAAGGGAGACTCATATGGGAGGCCGAGATTGCGGAGCTGAAAGAAGCTGTCTTGAGGCTTCAGGCGCGCGGGTCAAATCTCGCACGTATCAAAGCGGCAATTTTGCACCTCTACCTTTTGCCGGGCGTGTGCGAGGCCGGGTTTCAGGACAAGACAGCTCAAGAGAGCTGTTGGGCGGCCGAGAAGGCCCTTTGATCGATGTCATTAAAGTGTTTTGTGACAACGCACCCTTGCTTTGTTGACTGCTCTCTGTTCGGTTGTGTCACCTTTGAGGCCCAGCTGCAGCAAGATCTCGCAAGCGCAGCAGCAGCTTCTCAGGAGTGACTTGTGCATTGAGCATGCGGCGTGGTGTGACGTGACTTGTCAACTGTGTGAACCAGTAGCAAGGGCGCGCGCTTTCGCGCACGTCGCATGCCCAGGGCAGGATAGCATAGAAGCCGGCCCGCGGTTGAAAACTATTTGAAGTGCACTCTGGCGTAGTTCTGTCCACTGCCGGATTGCATCTGCCCGGCCCCGCCTCCCTCCAAAGCGTGAGCTGAGTAAGAAAAGGCTGAAGAAAAGGAAAAGAAAAGAACACGGTGACGCAAGTGAGTGTGAAATGCGTGAACCAGCAGGCAAGTGCGACCGTTCGTTGTGAAAACTTTGTAAAGTTGGGGGCTCTTGCGTGGTTCTGCCAAATCCTGGATCCGATTGCACTTGCCCTGCCCCGCCCCCCTCCAAAGCATGAGTTGAGCATATCGGCGGGTGGAGGAGTGCTCACAGGAGTTGGCGCGCAACGAGGCGGGGGAAGCTTCTTTCGTAGCGGGGGCGATCGGGCGGCTGTCAAGGGGAGCCTGGTGCGAGGTCAAGGTGGCGGAGCTGCAAGAGGCAGTCGCCAGCCTTCAGGCGCCTGCAAAACGGACACGAATCGCATGACACGCAACTACAAGTAAGTAAATGTTACACTAGAAAGTCAAATCACCAGAAGGACGCATTGCGTTGCTGAACGTTGCTCCGGCAGGCCTATGTGAAGGAGCAGGACGTCGCCCTGCTGAGCATGCATTACGAGCTCTACGAATTCAAGGCACATCTCGCAAAGCAGATCTTTGAGCAGGATCCGACATCGGCTTTCCGGCCTTTTTTGTCCTTGTGGAGTTGACGCCGCAGGCGCAGGTCCACGAGACGGCCAAGAAGGACTCCAACCGCGACGTGTGATGGGAATGCTCTGTCCTCTGTCCAGTGTACGTCGAAGCGCGGCCTCCAAATGAAAAAAACAAATCTCCGATGGATGTCCCTCTCGTGCTCGAGGCGCCATTTTTCGTTGACGGCATGGTGTGACATGCCGAAGTCATGCCGATGTGCCTATAGGAGGAGCTCTGGGACATCTCTGGTTCCAGCCAATGCTCACCTTTCTCTGCGAGGCCAGCAGTTCTCGGGGTTGGCGGTTCACTTGCGGTGGCGGTCGGAAGTGGGACTGCGAAGAGAAGCGCGCCCCTGCAGGGCTTCGAGCTCCCGGGACGCAGTCCTGCCGGGCCCCGTGCAGGAAGAGCTTGTACAACCTTGTGCACTTTTAAAGTGCTGCCTATAGATGCCACCAGCCTCCAATCGTTCCTCGTGTTTGCTTTGACCGTGCTTGTGGTGTCCTTATAGGAGGTAGCGCAGCAGACCGCGTCATCTCGCAGAGCACCCGCCGTGCTCTCACATACCTGACATGAAGCGTTCTTTCAACTGAGTCTTTAAAATTGAGACTGCCTAGGTGATTACACGGTGGCAGGATGCTGGGCTGTGGGGCCGTACCAAAGCATCCTTGCAAGATGGCCGCTTGGGGCAGGCGCGGAGCATTCTGTCGCGAGTGACCACGAGTGATGTGAAGCAGATTGACTGGGGGTGGCTGGGCAGGCCAGCCAGGGCGTAGAGCGGAAGGACGGCGTCGCGAAGGAGCAGTGTTGCGAGCGTTGCCAGCGTTGCCAGTGTTGCCCTTGTAGATGATCTTTCTGTTGAGTGTCTCCAGTTTACGATGGAAGCTATTCTCAAGTTGCAGGACATCTTGCGGCAATATGTTGAGCGCTATGGGAAAAACCCGGAGCGTCCGGCACCTTGGCTTAGCAACGCCCCCCCTGGGCACAGGGCATGTTCACCCTCCCCCCCCTCCACCCAGCGCATGGAGAGATCAAGCTGCTTTATCCCTTGCAACAGGCTTGTCGGAAGCAGTGCGCAATGCTCATGCGCCCCGCGCCAAGGACCAGCTCACGAAATTTGCGCAGAATATCGAGCAGCGCTTGCCCTTCACGTGGGCACGCGATGTCCTGGCAACTTAGCAGACTAGGTGCTTGTTGTTTGTTTGATGTTGTGTGCTTCATGGGGGACGGGGCGTTTCTGTACCTCAAGACGTCGAGCAACAACTTTCAACTCGAAGCCTGTAGCATCCCGAGAAAGTGCGAAGAACAGCACAAACAAGCGCACTCAAGGAAAGCCAGGAGAGTCTTAATTTTAATGCTACGCGACCCGCCTCGGCCCGGCCCAGCGCATTTGCGTGAGCATGGTGATTCCGCAGCGCCCAAGTCGCTGGACCCCAAGCAATAAGGGTTGGGTTTAGGGTTTGGGGTTCCGGGTTTATGGTTTATGGTTTGGGGTTTAGGGTTGAGGGTTAGTTTAGGATTGAGGGCTTCGGGCTCAAGGTTCACGCTTTGGGGTTTAGGGTTTTTTTGGGTTTAGGGTTCAAGACGGTTCGGCTTGGATTGATCGTAGTGTTGAGCCAGGGCCCTCGGGGGCTGTAGGGGGGGTAGGGGGTGGGGGGGGAAGGGGGGCAGGGGAGCAAAGGGGGGAAGGGGGGGGGGTAGGAAAGGGGGGGGGGGGAGGGGAGGGGGGGGTTGTGAAGGTGAGGGTTGAGGCTTCGGGTTCGGGTTTAAGGTTTAGGGTTTAGGTTCAAGCTTTTCGCTCACACCAGTCAAAGGCTTCGGGCGGGAAAAGGGGGAAGGCGGGGGTGGGGTGGGGGTAGGGGGGGGGGGGGGGGGGGGGGTAGGGGGCCTGTTCTGACAACCTATACACCTCCGGCCCGAGGCCTCGGCGGATTTGGCTTGGGCCTGCTTGTGAGTTTTGCCCGACCTTTTGGTCCTCTTCACCGGGTCCGACGCTCTCACCTGCTAGCTTTCCGCGTGAGAGCTCGCAGTCCGCAGAGGTTGTTTGTCGGGGCTGCATGGGCTGGGGGGGGGGGTGTTGCAATCTTTTTTTGCTATACGAGCTGCTCAGAAAAGCGTGCAGAGCCCAGAGTGGTTTTCCTCATGCGGCCCGCTCAGGTTGTTCAAGTTTTCGAAGGTCATGCGAACCCTCATTGTCGTATTCGCTGTGACCAGATGTGATCCAGAAAGTCATGTAAGGCAGCTGCCTGACTGACCAGCCGGCAGCGTCCCACCACCACACCTTGGCGCTTCGAACGTGGAGGCGCTTTCGGCAATTGCGCAGGGCGCGTGCGGAGTGCGTTCGGGGCGCCGGCCCGATCCGCGTCACACATCATGACAGCCAAGCCATTCTGGAATCCTTCTTGCGGGCTTTGGAGGCACCTTTACCGGCCAAGGATCGCCGCGAATGAAGCAGCCTCAAAAAACGGCATCGCTGCTGCCCAGGTTCTCGTGCCATTATTCTAGGACCATGAACATGTCTGACACTTTGGTTTGGCAGCTGATTGGCAGTTCACATGTTGTGTCATTGCAGTTGGCAGCAATTAATTGTGGACTTGAGCTCTCATGCCTTTCATGGTGCGTACACATCTGACGCTGCATTTGCTTTGGATTCCGGCTCAAAGGGGTGGCAAAATCCTCCTGTCAAAGTCTCGATTGTGACTTGTCTGGCATGATTCCCTTCTTGTTGGGGCTTCCAGGGGAGGGGCCGTCGCAAACATGCATTTTTCTAGCGTTCTGGTTTGCAGGCGGTTGGTAGATGTGAGGCAGTGAAATTGCCCAGTGCTGCTGAATGTTTCGCGTCCTCCCAAGGGAAGTTGACTCACCGGCTTTGGGGACATATACAGTGTGGAGGCCGACCTTGCTGCCAGACGTGTTGCATGCATGGAGGTGTATAATCGCCAGGAATTTTAGAGAAGAGTTGCCAGCTAGTGCTGTTGTCCTCGGCAAGCTATGGTAGTTCTTTAAGTGCGCCCCACCCCCCCGGCCCAACAGGTCCCCCTTGAAAAGGTCCCCAAACATCACCGGAAGGTGGACAGGACTGGCGATGATGCTCCTACCAGTCCTTCGACCAGCGGCTTGGGTCAATTGATCTGAGCAGCTGAGTGCAGCTGATAAGCCCTTGCTTGTAATAAAAGCTCAAAAAATGGCTTGCAGATGTGGAGGCTCTGACATTTTCGATCGCTATCGCACGCGCTTCCTCAAAACGGCTGCAATCCTGACCGATCTAGCGTGTAGCCTTGGTAGCCTACTCGAGTCTTTCCATCATTCTCAAGCAATCTGTGCTTTGGTTGTTCTCGAAATGACATGTCCGAATTGTTTGGACGAGCGTGCTGTTACCGTGCCGTTAAAGCCGAGCTGAGACATCAGGTGCAGAAGTCAGCTTCAAGGCTGCTGCTGGCTGGCACCCACACTGCTGCAGAGCTCACCACCGACCATGGCGTCCCGCTGGAGGCCTTCCTGTCGTGTTTATTTTTAAAACATTGTAAAACATGTGTAAACATTTTTAAACTATAAACTGTATCTTTGCATGAAGCTAAAGTTCTGATCACGTTCGCGAGGCAGAACTGTCTAGTCCATAGGCTCAGATAGTTGGTGTCTGGGACGCATCCGAGGTTCAGCCTCCCACCACAACAGTCTACCACCCAAATCTTGGTCATGCCGCGTCGAGTCCTCGGCCTGTGGCAGCGCTGGTGGCTGAAGTGCTTGCGTTGTTCAATAGCCCGTCTGCTACACATCCAAGGATGCACAGTGACTTGTCCTCGCGGCAAATGAATGCCCTCGCTGCACTCTCAAAACCCGAATTGGCCGTGTGTGGATCCTCGTGTGCTTTGTTTGACCCGATCGTGTCTTTAACAAATGTTCTCAAGGCACAACCCATTTGGGGCGGCAGGTGGCCAGTTGCTGGGAGCTTGGCGTGCCCAATTGGATCTTCATGCACTTAGTGTGTGCTCTCATTGTCTGCAATCTCCGTGTAGCCGGAAGTTTTGGAAACTCTTGATGTCTGAGAAGGCGGTGGAAAACGTCCTGGCGCAGGGCTCCGGCCCCTCGGCAGTGATGTGGCAGCATTGCCAAGCCCGCCACTTGAACTGCTCTCCCAGGAACTTCATGCAGTTCCAGCCAGGAGCAGGGGCAAGCCCAGGCTGCGCAGGTGCGGAGGGCGGCTGCGTAGGATCGGTAGTTCAGAGCATGAGCTTCAGCGTGAGAGATGGCTGTCTAAAGACTTGGAAGGCCGAAGAATTCACACAGGAGCTGCAGCAGCCAGTCTCCAGTCAGGCACCGCGCGGCGTTTAAAGGGAATAGGATTTCTCGGTGGGTTTTCGGTTACTGTTTTTTGTTGGAGTAATTGGAAGTATGATGGCATGTGATGGCACAGTATGGCTCCATCTGGCATCTGAAGGATGGACTCAATTCAGAGTGGCCAAGCTGCATTCATGGGTGGCCCCCTGTTCAGGGGGCGCGCATCTTCTGTTCATAGTGTACCTTTTTGCGTGTGAAACATTGTGAACCCCCCCCAACATTCCTGAAATTCTACCAAGCTCCGGGGGAGCTGAGGACAGGTGCACAGTGCATGTGGCAGCTAGACGCCCGTGCTGTTTTTCCACCTGGCACCTGTGTTCCTCGGCAAGTACTGACGGCTGCAGGTTTGCCGGAAAGGTTTCTTTGTTTATGACTTGGCAGATTGGTGCCTTCGTTGCTGATAGATTCACCGCAAGGTATGGCCTGCAATTTTCATGACCGGCGATGGCTGCTTCACAGGTGGATCCCTCAGACGCCTTGACCCTAGAGACTCTAGTGGCCGCGAACCTGGTGACTCTTAGGTTTTCCTGTCGGCAGCGTACTTCCATCGCAGGATGTCACGCAGCAGGCATGTGTCCTTCGTTTTTCTGTATCGAGCGGGGAGAGATGACATGAAGATTTTTTGACCTACGCTTGACCATGACTTGCTGCGTTTCGATTCCGTGATGACCTGGTATGCGTGGCCTATAGCTGGGCTACAGCAAGTTGACATGTCCTTGAGAGCTGTATTTCCACAATCATAGCTATCGAGCCTTCTTTGAGTTTGTCAATTCATTGCAGTGCTCTCGGTGCCACTTGCGACCCCAAAGGCACCAACAACGGGAGCGTCTCAGTCCGACGTCGCGCAGCCTCCGGTGACCGAGGCAGACGAGGAAGAGTATGACAACGCATATGACAACGCAGAGTCCGAAAATTTTGATCTCCATGCCTGCGTGGTATATTTCGAAAAAGGGGGATACAGAAGGACTGAGAAGCTGCGGGAGGGTCTGCAGTCAAAGCACTTGAACAAAGCAGTTAGATTTGACATATAATGATGAATCTTATGATGGCATGTGGTTCTGTTCTGCCTTGGAGTGCCTTCCTCGCGGCTTCTCTCGGCATCTACATCTCTCGTCTTTTTCAGGCGAACGCCTCGAATGGGTCGAACGGCTCGACATCACCGAGTGCCTTTGGTGGAAGAGTGCGTTCGTTATTGCAACCCCCTGATTTTTCACAAGTCAGGAAATGGCATCAGCCGCACGTCCACCAGCCGAAAGCAGCGCCGCCGTTTGAAAGCAGCGAATACAGCAACTGCCGACTCTGTAAAGGGCCCTGCTGCAGACGAACAGCCCCTTGGAAGATTGCAGCAAGGCTTCATGCTTCATGCCGCCCTCCCCCTCCCCCACTATTCCATATTATTCCACCGATGTCCCTATAGTGCCGTAGTGTGTTTGTGTGCTGCGTGACCCTGCATTGTGCTGGTGCTGGAGGCTAGAGAAGGCGCAGCCAGCACTTCCCGGTCTTGTGAACGGGCCCCGCGGCGCCCAACAGGTGGCCTGTTGCTTGATGTTGCTTGATGTTCCTAGATGTTGCTGCAGGTTGCTACGTGTTGCTGCCACATGTCGTGGTACGCGTCGCCTCCCTTTAGAGCTCGTAGAGTTGTAGAGAGCCTCATATACAGAGTCAAGATCTTCCGTGCGCATTGGGCAGGTCTCAGCTGCGCCAGCATGCCCTGGGCCTCTTCCCGAGTCGCTCGAAGAAGCTTGGAGCGTTGGAATGTGCGCAGCTGCCCAGTATGACTTGCATCTCTAGTTGCAGCCCCTACGAAACTTCACGCTGTCAAGTGCTGGCAGTGCAGCTTCGACGAGTGTTTCAGCTTCATGGTTTCGGGTTGCAGGCTTGGGGCCGTTTATCGGGTTTTAGGTACAAACGAGTTCCCAGTACGAGGCTACAGGCTACAGGCCATGTCGGCCCACAACTCTCAGTTCTCCAGCAAGTCTCAAGAGTCTTTTAGAGATTCCCAGTATGTCTCAGTCTTCTCCCAGCAGTGTTTCAGACTTGCCAATTTTAAGGAGCCAGCCCCGACCAGTCCGACCAGTGCGAACTGCGAGGGCCCCGGCCAGCTCTGGCCTCCGACGCCCGAGTCCACACCACCCTGCTCACCCCGAGACTTCGGTCCAAGTTTTTGTGCCTTCCCAGGCGCGGTGTGGCTCTTTCTGTGGACATGGGGGTATCTCACGAAAGTAGGGGTCGCTTCTTGGGCGTCCTTGCTGTACGGGATGGCCCTATTTTCAGAACACCCCCCCACATGTTTAGGGGCATCTCTGAGCATCATAGCTAAATGTTTTGCACCAAATGCGTGCCGTCAAGTCAAGTCCTTGCGACATTGCTCGGGACAGGCAGAATCCCCAAAACCTCCGGCCATAAATCCTCTCTTAAGCTTCGAAGACAGGATCACATAGCACTCTTGTTCCAAGCTGTTGAGGTTACGGTCAAGTCTTTAGAACGTCGACTTCGTGTCTAAGACCTGTGACACCTTGCAAGCGTGTCTGTGAGAAGCACGAGACCTTTGCCAGGCATCTGGCATGTAGAGATTCCGAGCATGGTCTTGCCGGAGCCAGTGGCTTTGCCGGAGATGTCTTCGATGCAAGCGGAGGACCGTCCCCACAGCGTCGCCTCGTATCATGCAAGAGCTCTCTTTCCAGAGTTCCAGAGAGCCTTTTTCGTAAATTGAAGCCCAAATCTTGCGCAGCAAGGCGTCCGCAGGAAACCGCAGTAAATCGCAGGAACTTGCAACCAATCAATCGTGTCGGGAGATGGTGTTGGTCGTGACTCTTGACGGATCCTGACAGGAAGTTCCAGATGCAGAATCCCAGGCATGCGAGCAGATGATCTCCCAACTGGACGAAGATGCCAGTCGAAGAGCCGAGGTGCACAGACAATTGTGCAGAGAGTTCGCAAGTAAGCGATCAAGTAAGCGATGAGAGCGGTGTACCATGGTGTACCATGGTGTACCATGGTGTACCATGGTGTACCATGGTGTACCATGGTGTACCGTAGGCTCCTGTTGATCCGGTGGACGCGATTCCACGATGAAGCCCACAGCAAGTCCCGTGTACTGTAGAAATGCCGTAGATTACCTCGGTCCTGTGCAAAGCAAATGCTATGTTAGCGTTGCGCTTGCAGTTGCTACCGGTTTGGCGTGCTTAGGCAGTAGGAGTTGCAACGTTGCCTGATGAGCGGATCCCTCTCGGGAAAAAGTGACAGTGAGGAAACGGTAGAGTGCTCAGGGTATGTTCATTATGCGCACTCGTGTGTAATGTGTGCTTGTGCACTTCCGCATGAGGTGATGGAGTTGCTCTGGACTTCCACTTGGTCGATGGCGTGCACTCCTGGTGGCACTCGTGTCGTCCAGAAGGCGTTGGAGGTTGCTGCAGCCTGACTGATGACAGATAGTACCAAGCTGGGCTTCTTCGCTGCTCTCCGTGTGAAGACTTGTGCTTAGGACACGACGGAGCGCATCTTCGCTGCAACTGGCTTTCCGTCCTTCAAGTCTCAGTGCAGTCTACAGAGTTTATGGCATCTGCACTTGGGTCTCCAAGTCTTTGGCAAGCACATGCCGTGCTTTTGCCTGCAGGCATATCGCTGGCAGAGCAGCTGCAGGGTCACGTTAGGGAAGCTTTTGCGTCACCCCATGCCAACCATGTCCTTCAGAGACTTGATCGCGATGCTTTGGGAGTGGCTTTCTCTGTGTCTCTCTCGCTCTCTCTCTCTCTCTCTCTCTCTCTCTTTCTCTGTCTCTCTGTCTCAAGTGGCATGGCACCTTCTGAGCCCTCAGGAAATGCATTGAGCTCATTCCTCCAGACCGCCTCCATTTCGTTCTGTCTGAGATGCTCGGGCACGCAGTAGCAGCAGCACGGCATCGTTACGGTGTTGCGCTCAGCATGTTTCCCCTGCACGCCATGGCCTGCACCAGCTGAATGATCTGAATTATGATGATCATGGTCTGGGCGTTCTGTCGATCGGATCGATCGGATTGGTGCAGGCTGCCGGGTTCTGGAGCGTCTTCTCGAGCACTGCCCCAGTGAGCAGACGGCGCCCCTGGTCGAGGAGGCGCCTGCTTCACTCTGCGTAGGCCACGCGCATCATGCTTGCATCGTGGCCTCTTTTTCATAATGTGTTCTGGTGCGCCATTGCAGGTCCTAGCGGGTGCTCCGCAACTTTGCCGTCACACCTTCGGCAACTTCGTTGTGCAGCACGTGCTTGAGCACGGGCAGCTCAGCTCGTAAGGACGCGTAGAGAGATGTAGACAGTTTCCACATGTTTGGGCCACTCGAGATTGCTTGAGGTCTTGTTTCCCATGCCAAGCCCATCACACCCTGATCTCGTGATCCTAAGGACGGTCGATCAGAAGCGCCAGATCGTGGATGTCATTCATGCCGACATCCAGCGACTGGCTCGCCACAGGGCGACTTGGCTCTGTTCAGTTTCGGCTGCATGCACCTGGCCTTACCACACCCTGTGCCTTGCCGGGCACCATCTGCCAAGGTTGCCAGTCATGTTGTGCGGTGCGCGCTGAAGCACAGCCCTCTGGAAGACAGGCGTGGACCTTCAATGCTACAGTCATCCGCAGTCATCCTTCTCCTATTGGCGATGCCATGTGTTCCCCATCACAGGCAGAAGCTGGTGCAAGCCATTCGGCTCGGGGCTCGGCAGATGTTGCTGGAAGTAGAGCAAGTGAGAGCATGTGCTTCAGGAAAGACCCTGCCGATCTGGCAGACTTAGCTCACCACCATTGTGGAAGCTTTGCGCAGACCTGAGAGGGGATATGAGGGAATTCTGTCTCATCAATCTGCTTCAGCGCGGCATCGGGTAGAGCCGAGGTTGTGCGAGAGATGCGCCGGGCGGATGTTTTGCACCGCTGAGGAGCCAAATTCTGGGAAGGGCTTGTGGCAGCTTGCAGAGCATTACCCCCAGAGAAGGGTGTGTGGGGAGGGGTGGGGAGGGGCAGCAGTAAGTCACCGGAGGAGCGGAGACGCGACGGAGTGAGAGCCACGTGGAACAGTTGGATCCCTCTTTTCAGGCTTGGCATGGCTCTCGAAAAAAATTTGGCGTTCTCAGTCACGTTAGGTCACGTCGTGCCAGAGGCACGATGCAAAAAGATGGGTCATTCTGCCTCTGACTTGCTCAGAGGCGCATGCCGTATGCCCAGTTAACTTGTGTTGTCAACAATCTGCTTTCGTAGAAACCCTAGGGGTGAGTGTTGACGTATGGCGCAATGACCTGCAACCTTCCATGTCTCCCTCCGGGACCTTTCCTCGGATGCTTCCTCTGCCACGCCCTCCATGAATCCGTAGATTCTACTTTCACATCTTTACACTCATTCTAGGAAGCCTGAGGACGTGCCTGCTAATCATTCGGCAAGCGTTTATCGAGAAGTATGCAGGGTACACAGGCAGCTTCTCGCGTGCCCATCTGGCTTGCCATGGCTGTTAGAGTCTGGAGCTTCTCAACGCACATGGGTGCATGTCACGAGATTTTGAGAACTCTAACTACTGGCCTGCAAGGTGCAGCTCAATACCACTCTTTCAGCCCTTGGGATACTAGCTGCGGCTCAGTCCCAAATTTTCCGTGGTTGTGGAACAACCACATGCTCGCTGCACTGCCGCAGCATTTACATTTGAAATATGTCTACACCTGCCATCAATGGATACAAGCTCCTCACATTGATCGGACTCAGTCTGCCTTCCATCCATATGCAGACGAGAGACAACATGGAGCTTTGCAGCTCTGACATGACTCATAATGTTCTGAAGGAATGCCACGATCCTTGATGTCGGGCCTTGTGCAAAAGCGACTACTGTTGCGCAGAAATGGTTCCAATCCTACTGCAGCTGGCCAGGTTGATTAGCCTGCAAAGTTTGCTCAAATTACCAAGCTCGGTGGACCAGTTTCACCGGCGTTTGCAACTCTCGTCTTGCATTGTCCCACCAGCCACCACTATCAAATAGTACTCAAGCGAAAAGATATGATCCAAACGTCGGGCTGGAAGGTCACGCCTCCGGAGCTCGTGGCGACGCTGCTTGCCCCCTTGCGCTAACACGGCTCAATCTGGGGTGCGAGGTGCATGCTGGCCTCTAAGCATGAAGGCTGAAGACCCTCGATATGAACATCCAGTTTAGCCCATGCGAATTCATGCTTCGTGGCCAGTACAGTCGTGGTGCAGTCGGCTCCAGGCGATGTGTCCATGCCCTCTAGTTTCTCGTGTTGTTTTGTGACTTGTGAACCTACCGGTGCTTTTGCATCTACAGTCCACAAGCCGCTAGGCAAGCGTTCCGTCAAAGAATTGTAAAGCGGTGTGGATCACGGCTCATTAGTTCTTGGTTTCCAAATACCGTTTTGCTACATCTGGTTCATTGACAGCAAGACGAAAAAGGCACGGACGTTTCATTTGCTTTGTGCAGCATGTGTTTTCTGGACGGCAACTGCCACATTTTCATCATTGCAACAATTGAAGCGGCAAATGCCGTCTCTCGCCACAGCTTCGGATGTTGCCTGAGCCAAGTGGTCATGCCATGTCATGCCGCATTCCACGCGCACATATGCCCAACACTGCATGAGCGGCCACCTGCACTTGGCGTCGCCTCTAGCCAGACCACTGCGACTTGCCCGGACCGAACTGCAGTAAGCTTTGTGCCCATGGATCTTGCTGCGCTGCAGGGTGCCGGGACCTTGGCGGTGAAACTGCGGGTGCCTAATTGCAAAGCCAGAATGCCATAGTACGGAGCCGTAGTGCGAGGAGCTAAAGGCGGCCAAAGAGCGGTGGGAGGACCTGAAGCTTGGCAAGGCCTGGAAGATCCAACGAGAAGTGTCCGAAGCGCAATCAAGGCCAAGGACTTAATTTTAGTGCTTTTTCAGAGTCCGCCTAGGCCAAGAAGGAGGCGGAGACCTTTCCGTTTCCTGTCTCGGCGCTTCTGGCCACGCACCACAGCGGCACTGAGATGGTAGGCCTTGGGAGGCTTGGGTAGCATTGCTTGCGAATTGGAAGATGGTCCAGCTATAGTTTTTATAGTTATGATAGTTATGATAGTTATTATAAGTAAGAGTTATCATAGTTACTATAGTTATAATATTTATGATACTTAGCATAGTTCTTCTTATAGTTATTATAGTTGTTATAGTTATTATAGTTATTATGGTTTTGCTGCTCTCCCGGATTAATCCAAGGCAGCAGCCGCCGGCAGCCAAAGCCTTTGCCCCTCGGCTGTAGCAGAGCAGCTTTGTTCTGAGGCCCCTTGTTTCGCTTTAGAAGGCTTCCCGGGACAGAGCACTTGCGCATTCCGAATCATGTTGTTGTTTTGCTTTGACGGTGCTGATGCCAATAATTCAGTAGTTCGCGTCGGACTGGCTCTTCATGGGGGTGTGGAGTTCTGGGGTCAGGATGTGTATGAGATTCCGATCAAGCTCGTTATCCGCAGCCTGGAGCCCGATGTGGCGGTGGAGGCCCGTGCTGACAGGCATACGAGGGTACATGAAGCGATCATGAAGTAAGCATTCCCTGCTGGTGCCTTTTGGATATGGTGCCATTTTTGATTTCCCGTTTGGCTTTGAGAGGTGCCCAGCCCGGAGCTGCCCGAGCAGCTGCAGTCAAAGAGTTTCGGCAGCAAGGGGGAAACGCGTGAAATGCGAGCAAGATTCAGAGGGCCCTGCGCTTTAATTCTTATCTGAGGATCGCTGATGCGGCCCGGGGCCCCATGTCAGCCCTTCCGATCGTGTCAATGAGCTTTCATGCTGCGACCTCATTTTTGCCAAGGTCCTGGCGACCTGGAAGAAGTATCTGAAAAAGAAAGCTGCGCCGATCGCCAAATGATCCAAATGCATAGGGATGTGGAAGAGCCGTTCTCTGGGACGTTTGGGGCTTCTGGCAGATTCCCAACTGAGGCCCTGGGGCATCATGCCAACCTTTGAATGGGCAACCTGTCTGTAAAACCTGTCTGAAGTCGTCTGATGTCTTGCTGCCCCGAATCGGCCCAGCAGGTAGATGCCAACTTCCATAAGCTCCTACAGCTGGACCCAGAATGCCTGCATCCATACGCAGCTCGGATGCCTAACCATATCCTTGATGTTCAAATCTTGCCATCATGACGCCCACGTCGAAGGAAGGGTGCGATGAGAATGACTGTACCATCAAAAGGCCCGGTGATGCAGCATTGCACAAACGTCGGCACCACAGCGTGCAAAAGCACTGTACAGGATTGGTAACAAGATCCGATAGTGATCTCGACACTCAGAGTGGCACGTCGGTCACATTGCGCAGGTATGCTATTGGTCCTCCTGCAGCGCCTGCTCCTGAAGAGCCAGAGAGTGCCCCAGTTGCAAAAGGTGGGCAGCATCGGGGTCACTTGAGCCTTTTGTTCTGCGTGTGCTACGAAGTCTTAGGCGAGGAGGAAAGTGAAGAAGAGGAGGAGGAGGACGATGCTGAAGCGGAGGAGCGAGCCTTAAAGCGTCTTGTCACTATTCTTCCAAAGTTGGCAGGGATTGATATTTCAATGTTCTCTTGGTCCTCTCGCTTGGATTTGACAGTTCGTACTGGTTGGGGGCCTGATCATCATTGGCCCATGACACGCTGTAGCTGCGGTTGGCATGTTACGTCTTTGGCTGCGAAGAGGAATGCAGCATGTGCATGGTAGAGCAGGCCACGCATTGCAGGGTCTGCAAGGCAGGACCTGACAGACATAGCCTAGTCATTGGGACAGCTCGTTAAAACAAAAAACTACGGTGCAAAGTTAGAGCCATGGATGCCACGTGGCAGAACTATCATCTGTGGCAGAGCCTGGGCAGCGAGCTCAGAATCGATTCAGGTGTTTCGCACATTCGGTATCAACGTCTGCACGGTGTGGAAGTGTCGTTTCAGAAGCTCGGGGTGGTGGTATGCCACATGCTTTGAAGCTTTTCGAGGCCATTGCTCAGTTTACCTTGAGTGGGCCCTGGCGTTGCTGCTTGCGGCTGCCGTTCCTTGGATTGGAATCCAAGGCATGTCACAGCAGGCGCCGGAGTGTGTTTGGTGGAGGTCGCCAGCGCCTGGCGCGGGGCGTGGCTAGTGCTCGACGTGCTGCTCTGGCCAGAAAGGCCGACAAGAAGGGATGAACGAGTAGTGTCACTGGGCTTCACACAGTGTTGGCCGCTGCAATGGCCTGCAGATGGCTGCTCCAGAATGTTTGAACATGTTGCAAATGAGGGGGGTTCAGTTCGGATCTCCTGTAATTGGTCAAAAATAACTCTCTCTTGTCGGGTTTTCAACAAATTGCACAACAGGGGGAGGGGGGGGGGAGAGTCTAGGAGTCTGCTTAGTCTGCTTGTAGTCTCTTTTCAGCCCTCTGCTTCTTGGGGAGCCAGTCTTTCCCACAACAGTTGCGTCATCGACATTCCTCAGCTCACTACTGAAGCGCCCCGCCCCACTGGTCTTTTTCCAAACTCTCTCTTTGGCGCAGACCTGCGTCAAGTGCAGCGTTGGGTCTCGGCTGGGGCATCGTCCTCTTTGCAGTCCTGGGCAACCTGGCAGCACCAAAAAGCCCGGTGTGTTCTTCGGTGTACATCTCTGCGCACATGTTATTCCCTGCAGGCTTCATACAGCCCGTCCTTGCGGCGGCCGCAGGGCGGGTCAAGCAGAGGCGGCGGCTCTTGTGGCTGGCCGACGCAGTCTTCAGCTCCACGGCAAGATCCACCTTATTCTCCACAGAGCCCGGGCGTAGGCAGACGCGCGCGCAGGAAGAGAGCAAAACCCACGTCTAGGCTTTAAAGAAGTTGGGTGCCGGCGACAGCAAGCTACGCTAGTAACTGTAAGTTATGTTAGTATTGAGCGGCATTGAGCGGCCCGCAGCAAAAGGCTATGCAGGCCTGTGGTGCTGTGTTCTGGTGTGGCGCGGGATCTGGCAGCTCTGGGACTGCGCCCTGGGGTGTCGCGGACCCAACATGGAGTCGTCTCCCCTCGTTTCCTCGTTTTTTCGGTCCAGCTGCAGTTGCTTGAGAATTCAATCTTGAAATGGCTACAGTACTACAGAAAGCTCAATTCCAGTTTTCATCTCTCGGTCTCTTGGCTGTTTGCTGCCCTTTGCTGCGTGAGTGTTTGAGCGCGCCCAGGTACTGCTTGACGCCTGGCTCGGGCGACATGACCCTGCCCCGTGTCTGTTGTTGCTTTGATGTGATCCTTGCAACTGCAACATCCGGGCATCTACGGGGCTTTCTGCAGTATTCCCCAGATGTCATACTCCTAAGCGCCGTTAGACCCCTAGTCCCGAGAGGACACTGCTGGCTGGTGCTTGGTTCTGCCATGCCGTCGCTGAGCCTTATATGTGCGAGGCAAGTAAACAGGCTCTTCCTGCGGAGGAAAGGTGTGCGGCCCATTCCTGCCCGTTTTTTGATGCCCAGGGCGGTTGAGGTGTTCGGGGTTTCAGGGTTCAGTGCACGGGATTCAGGGAGTTTTTGGCGTCACTTCCAGCCCGGCAGTGAGCAGAGGTGGGCGTGTTGATTCTGGCTTGCATCGGTGGCATGCGGAGCCTGAACGCGCCCCCGATGCTGCTGTTATCAGAGCCTTGAGACCGAAGAATGTGCTTGCTGTTCGCTTTTTGGCCATGCGCCAAGAGCAGTCCTCTGCTCATGTTTGCCCAAGAAGCACGAGGAGCCAAAGGGGAGCCTCAAAACGGCACCCTAGAGCCGCGTTTAGAAACATCCTCAAGAGCCGCTGTGGTGGCCCTGCCACCACATCTCTGAGGACAGCTTGCCCCCACTCTTCGGAGCCCGCGCGACGTCGGGCCTGCGTGGCTTTGCCGTTGCTGGCTTCCGGCGCTGCTTCGTCCCGGTGGTGCAGAGCCCCAGGGACTGGCACGAGGACATAGGGGGCTTTGGGGGCCTTTGGGGGGGCTCTTCAGACCGTTCAGAAGTTTGCAGAAGTGTTTCTCAAGGCTCAAAGGAAGGCATCTTCCTGTAGACGGCTCTAAACAGCGCCTCTTTCAACAATCTGACAAAGGGGCTGCGCTGTGTGGAGGCCGTCGGGTTGCCTTACGACGTGCATGAGGTTGTGGAGGCGAACTGTGCATCGCCTTCCGCTCAGCCAGTGCATTACGGTGCGGAGTCCCCAGGAATGTCAAACTTGCGCATGTAAGCTGCAAGCGTTGCAGCGAACATTTAAGACATTTTCGCCAGATGCTGCAGGCATTCTTGATTTTCGCTTTTGACATTTTTTTTGACCTGGCCTTGGCATGCCTCGGCTGGTCGACCCTCAGATCTCAGATGCTTCTGCCGAAGCAGAACGTCAGCCACGGTCACAATCTTCGAAGGAAGTGCGTGTCTGCACGTTGTTAGATGGGTTACGGCTAAGGACTTAGCCTGAAATAGGCTGACATGCGAACATACCGTAAGACGTAAGTAGAGCAATGGGACTGCACGAAGGCGTATGACTGATCATGGAAGAAGCTGCTCTCCATCAGCTCGCCATATTTGCGTCTCGATGTACAGCATGCTAACAGCTCCTGATGATCCGTCGCCTGAGGCGATTGCATCATTCTTAGGACTCTCAAGATCGCCAGCAGAGTGATGACTTGGGCGCCCGTCAGGTAAGCATGGTGAGTGTCCTGGTGGAGTGATGTTTCATACGGTTTGCTGAATGTTCTTGGTGCTCGACCAAACCTCTGCGTGTGCGCGGGGGTGATTTCTGAGCATTCCGCTCCATGCCGGAAGAAAGTTGGACTTTGGGTGATTAGCTGACCGGACACCACAGCCACAGCCTCTACAGCTCCTGAAGTGACACCGAGGGGTTGCACCTGCAGCGTCAGTCCATAAGGTGGTAGCTTGCATAGGATGTGGCAAAGGCTCGGTTTTTCCGAGGCCATGAGGGAACGGCTTGCAGCGCTGCTTGCCGAAGTAGAGCACTCTGGAGCAGGCGCGCGCGCGCGCGCGCGCGATCTTTCAAGAACGCCATAAGCTCACCAGAGACCACCAAGTCATTGTCTCAAGAGTCGAGCGTGAAGGCGACCGGAAGAAGCTGACCCCGGAGGAGATCGAGCAAAGGCGGAAGGAAGCCGAAGAGTTGGGTCCGGACCTAAAGAGGAAGAGATGGAAATGCAAAGAAGTGCTCCGTGTGTTGACCGAGTTTGCCTTCGGAAGGTGACAGGGTCAAGACCATGTCGAAAAAGGACACGGCGAGTCGACAGAATGTCGCCTTTGCCGCGCCCGCTCCACTTTGCAGACCCTAATGATCTGATGCATTTGTTATGCTGTTTGCAGAGGAGCGGGAAGAGCAGAACAAGTCCAGAAAGGCGGCACTTTGTTGGGGTTCGTTGGATCGCCCGATGCGATATGCTGCGATGTTCGCCACGCAGGAGAAAGCCGGGCAGCGGCAAGCCAAGACCGGGTCGAAAACCCGGAAGTTCGAAGGCGAGGGCGCCACTTCCAAGGCTTCGGCTTGCTTTGCCTTTTGAAACCGAGCTTCTCTCCGCTTGCAAACGTATTGGCCATCAAGTTTAGCGTGTAGTTTAGCCGGGGGCCTGTTAGGAAGAGAAGAAAAGGAAGAACACGGAGAATGTCAAGAAGCGCAACGCGGCAGGAACACGTAACAAAGTTACATGTGCTGCTGGGCAATGCTGGTCATGTCTCTTCCCTGAGAGCTCTCCAGAATTCTATGCTATCTACGTGCAGTCTGCTTGGCCTGAGCTCTTGATATCTCAGGCTTTGGGATTTCCTAGAGATCGCTGCGACGTGAGTAGTTACGTGAGTTACGCGATCAGCCCAGCCCTGTCCAAGTCTTGTCCAAGGGCTTGTCCAAGGCTTGTCCAAGATCTTGCTTTGTGCCCTCCATATGAAACCACTGTTTCTTATGGGATGCTGCATGTGATACTGGCTTTCTCATCTTGGAAGGTCCTGGTCAAGTCTCTTTCTGCGGAGTTGCCTCGGTAAATTGCCGTCGCAGGGATCCAGGCTACCCGGCGCGGCAGAAGTCCGTGGATCGGAAAGTCCAGGCAGATGTACAGAAATCTGAGATCCCCGGCAGGCGCCTAAATCTTTAACATGTTTCACGATGCCTCGAGGTGCGTTCCTGGCCGGACTAAGCCCAGAGCAGCGCAATCCGATGGGAAGCATCTCGCACCCTCACAGGCGCACTCTGCCAAAAACACCAGCACAAGCAGGTACGTCACGTGCTCATATTGCTATCGAATGCTATTGTAGCACGCGGCTCCTTGCGTTTCTTACACGGGTTTTGCCCACAAGCCGCGTCCGCGCTGTTTTTCGGCTGTTGGAGCCAAAGGCGTGAAGGTGGGAGGGCCAGGGCGGCCAGACGCCCGGCAGGGCAATGGCGGCGGCCTTTTTCGACAGGCGCACCTTCTGTTAGGACGGGTTGCTCTTCTTTGTCGGCCCCGAATGATGGTGTCAGTCAGCCTGGTGAGTCTAGTAAGACGGGACGACTCTGCTTGCGCAGGCTACCTGTGCAACTGACTCGAGCGGAGGAGGGCACGGGGACTGGGAACTTTCCACGGGGTTTATCCAAAATGTTAACGACGGGTCACCTTTCGTGGACTCCACAAACCTCGTTTGGTCGCCAGCAGTTTCCACACTTGATGCCGCATTACAGGAAGAGCTCAGGGAGCACCTGGTTCGAGCTGCCAGAATAGCACCTGCGCTACAAGCTATGGATAAACAAAGCAGCAAGTAGCTGTATGTATGTATGTATGTATGTATGTATGTATGTATGTATGTATGTATGTATGTATGTATGTATGTATGTATGTATGTATTTATGTATTTATGTATTTATGCATGTATGTATATATAAACATATATATATATGTATATGGTACCCCCCCAAAGATCTACGTGTTTTTATGTTTTGGGTGTGTTTTAGGGTTTTAGGGTTGGGGGTGGGGGGCCATCTTAATATGTAAGTGTTCGTATATTAACCATGAGCCCGATTGAAAAACGATTGAAACGATTGAAATTCAATCGGGGGCCGGATTGAAGATTGACGATTGAAGATTCCCAGCAAAAGGTTTTCCGGGAATCTTCAATCTTCAATCTTCAACCTTCAATCTTCAATCCGGCCCCCGATTGAATTTCAATCGTTTCAATCGTTTTTCAACCGGGCTCACGTTTTATAAAGTCTCAGAAGTAGATCTCGTGACGTCCTTCAAGGTCATATGTATTCGCAGACATTCCACTCGAAATATACTTGACCATTTGTGTTTGTAATATTCGCAATGGCTCGCATTCCAGTTGCTGGCACAAGGGGGGTCTTTTCTTTTGCCTCTATACTTTCACATGATTCATACGACTTTTCGCAGGAGTTCTTCTGAATTTGCTCGAATTCGGATTATTGTGAGGCACCTGGCCAACCTCTTCTGGGAGGACATTTTCGAGTACAATGAACTCGTCCTCGCAGGCGGTGATGTGAATGGTGGCATCCAGGCATTTCGGGAGGTGGCCATTGCAAGAGCGGAGGCAAGGGGCTGGGATTTGCCTTCCATACAGGCTCATGTGGGTGATTCGATCTGGCTGTTCATTCTCTTCCCACCAGGACGGCGCAAACAGTTCGACATCAAGTCCAGCGACGCAGCGCAATTGTCGGCGCGTGACTTGAGGCTGCGCAGAAACGATGGAGATGCACACTACCCACTGCTCACACACATTAGAAACCTGGAAGAGCCACGCCGCAAGAGCCGGAGGATGCCTAACATCGCAAGCAGCTCATCATCCACTGCAGGGCCCTTGCCTGTCGGCCTCGCAGCACGAGGAAGTGCCCAGCCCTCTCACCCCCCTGCTTGATCTTTGAGGAAAGGCAGGCAGCATTGAGGACAAGCTCTGAGCGAACACAAAGACAATGTCCTGAGATGAGTGTTTGCGTGAAACCTCTCACCTGAATCCTGCTGACACACAAAATCCCAATCCCAAAATAGACCCTAAACCCAGAGCCCGATCCCCGAATTGTAAAAGTGAAAACCCACCCGAACCAGAAGCCCGGTTGAAGGCTCAGAGTTTCTAAGACGTATGCCAGGGTTTGCCCCAGTTGGAGAGCCCCGAATCCCTCTTGACAGCACAAACCCGAGTGAAAGGTGCGGCGGGTTGGCTGCCAGGTCGAGAAAGCTGAGCTGCACCTTCGTCCGCATGACCGTGAATGTCATTCTCTCCTGAAGGTTGGATTTTCCACGGGCAAGCCGCAGAGATCCCCAGCATCCAAAGTGTATCGGGCGGCCAAACGACGGCGGAAAGCGCGCCAGCCACCAAGGCAACGACTGGCAGCGTGCAATGGTTGCAATGGCCGGATTTAGATTGTAAAGTTGCTCGCAAGCCGCAAGCCTGGCCAGCGCCGCCGAGGAAAAGGATTTCTTTCGGCTTCTCTTTAAGTCAAGCACTGATTTAGTGAATACCCCACCCCCTTCCCCCCCCCAACCCCCACCGGACCTCCTCGAAACCCTACCCCGGGCGGGGAAGGAGAGGGAAACACAAACACTGCGTCCAGAGACCGGTGCTTGTGTTAAACCTTTGACCCGAAATCTGCTAATCCCTAAATGCCCTTTGAATTGTCTGCGCGCCATTCCGGAAATGCACCGAAAACGCTCCCACGGGAAGCCTCAGTGGGCTTCGGGTTTAGGAGGTTCGTTTTGGTGATGTGGGGGAGCTGGCGACAGGTCAGGTTAGCTTAGGGCCCGGTTGAAGGCTCAGAGTTTCTCCGACGTATGCCAGGGCGGGGAAGGAGAGGGAAACACAAACACTGCGTCCAGAGACCGGTGCTTGTGTTAAACCTTTCCGGAAATTCACCGAAAACGCTCCCGCGGGCAGCCTCAGGGCTCCAATATACCATGACAGATGTTCTCCGGCTCGTGATTCAGGTACGCAGTAGCTCGATCTTTGCCTCAGTTATGGCACTCACATGCCTGCCTCAAACATCCCGCAGCCTTTCGACAAGAAGCCCACACTGAAAGAATCCTCGTCCGCAGAAGATGCGTGCCTGCTGGGAGGGGCTCATGTTAAGGTTTTAGGGTTAAGAATTTCAATACCTGTAGCCCTATACCGGAAAGCCTAGGAGAACGCCTGAGTGTCACCTCCACACAGCAGCTCTATGTAATCACTTTGTAAGACCAGATATTTCTTATAGTGCTCATGCTGAGAAAGAGTCAAGGTAGGGTTTCGAGAGGCATAAATGTATGAAAAAGGGTAGATCTTTGGGGGGGGGGGGGGTAGCATATATATATATATATATGAGCTCGACATGTGCACGTATATGCATATGTTTATGTGTATATGGCGCATCTTTGCTTGATGCTTCCTTGTTTATAGCAATGACCAGTCCTAATGTTTGTGAGCCTAGGCAGCCGAGTTATTGCCGTGGGGGGGCACAGTTCTGCTCATGCGACATCAGAAATGCAATGGTGTCTCGAATGTTTGTAGAACTGCCCAGCTCTTCTCATCCGCTTTGTCTCCAGGCCTGGCAATGTGGTCTCACTTCAGGAATGGGTGGAGTGGCCATTTGCTGAGATTCATACACTGGTGCAGCCTACGGGATATTCAGCCAGCGCTCCTGCGCTCAGTCGGATGCCTGGTGAAGTCGACCTGGCCACAGACGACGCTGGTCTCGTCGGGGGCAAAGTCGGCCTGTGCAAGCTATGCCGGCCGCGTCCCGTTCGCTTTCTGTTTTGTTCATCTACGCCAGCTCTCCTCCATGCCTTCCAGGTCACCTTGCGACCTGCGCGGTCCCCGCAACAGAAGGTGCCCCTGCTCCACAGTGGTTAGTCTGATTGTTTCGGTGGGGTGAGCGTAATGGCGTCCGGCGATCTCAAAGCGCGCTGCACGGGCATTGAAATGCCCACTGGCCAGGTGCCAGACCCAGTCCTACAGTCCTTCATGTCGCGGCTTCCGGCGGACCATTTTGCACCCGAGGAGGTGCAGAGAGTAGTCGAAATAGTCGTGCAGGCCAATTGGCCAATTGGCCTGCTGCATGGCAATGCCACGATATTGCAGGAGGCTCTGCGGGAAGCGATCGTGCGTGCTTGCAGCCCCAGATGTGTGAGTGGAGATTTGCTCTAGCCGGCCACTTGCGGGAAAGACTGACAAAGAGTGGAGGGCCTTAACGTTTCCAAACAACCTACAGAAGGAGCATGAGTTGTGGTCAGTTCCTGAAGGAGGTGCTGGCGAAGCCTGCAGTCCGTGTGAGACTTGCAGAGGTCAGTTCACCCTAGAAGGAGACGGGGCTAGTTGTGCCGGCCCAGGCTTCAAGGCTTCAAGATGCCCCACCTTAGAATGAGATGGCCTTTCAAGCCCTCAAGACGCTGAAAGGCAAAGTGAAACAGGTGAAGCAGTTGAGACCCTGATGCTGGCTGCGAAGCGGACGTGAAAGCCGTAAACGATGTGTTTGCCAGGAAGGACACAGTTGACTGAACTTGTTTTGTCTGCGCAGATGTGGGCAGTTCAATTCCCTCGAACAAGCATGATAGGGGGTCGACGCGCCCAAGATTAAACGGGGGGCTCAGGCCGGAAGATTTATCCTGAGCCGGGGGTTTTATCCAGAGTGTTTCTGTCATGGCCTGCTGGGGATTTATCTAGCCCGCGCGGGGTTAGAGACGGAGGATCATCGTGGTATGGTTTGTCTGACAACAACGGTTTGTATATGTTTGTATTGAAGCTCGAGCCCGGGAATTTATCCGGCTCATGGTTTTTGGTGCAATATACCTTTCTTCTGCTCTGTCCCAAGCGCTTCAATGCAATGGTACCTGTCGCAAACAAATCGAAATAAGAGTATGCCCTGCACGTACATGGTCCTGCATGGATTGCATGGTATACAGGGAATTTATTTGAAGGCTTCTGGGCCGTGTTTTGGGTGAGCCCGCCTTCGCTGCAGCTGCGCCGCCGCAGTCCGGGTGAGTTTTTTCAGACTTATTCCGATCTGCCCACCTAAGCCCACGATGCCGAAACCTTCCACCTTGAAGCTGTGAGCCTCTACCTGCCTATTCCTTGCCAACTTGCCCGAGATCCAGGTCTCATAATCCTAGCATTCCAAGTTTGACATTCTTGACGCCTGGGGTGTGGAGTCAAAAAAAACAGTCATGGGCAGGGGTCGGGCCCTGGGGTTTTATCCCATTCATGTGCTTTCCGACTTGTCCTCCGATGATAGCGTGGATTTGATCCGAACATATCCAAATAGGACCTGCCAGCGGCCTTAGGCCAACAACAAAAAAAACCAACATTATCCTCAGACCCGCGGGATTTATCCAGATAAATCCTTGGCCTGACCCCGAAGGGCATAACGACCCCACATAAGCATGCTGGCTGTCTGAGCAGATGTAGCTTGCCGAGCTGGATTGCTTGGTTTACCGAGGTGGTGGAGCGGGGGCCATCGCTTCTAGCACAGGCTGAAGAGATGATTTCCACTCTTGCGCTGCATGCTCTCGCATCTCTTGCGACATGCAGTGCCCAGTCTCCCAACTGGGCCTGTCTGCTGATCTTTGGGACTTGGCACAGGTCAAGAGAGACTCCGGTGTCTCCAGAGCGATGAAGGCCTCCATGTATGATTCGCATGCTCGAAGTCCACGATCTGTGGTGTTTGCAAATTTGCGAGGTGCTGCTTCCGCCGAGCATCGCCTTGGAGGACTGGATCGAGCGGCGGATTGGCGGAGAGGCCACGCGCATGGGGGTGAGCGCATAAGGGGGCGAGATTCGGGCACACGACTCGGGTTTTTAGGGCTGATGGCCAGGTCGCCGTGGACTCCGATGAGCGTGGCCAGCGGGTGTGCCGTATGATGAACGGCACAGTCAAGGCACAACCTTGAGGATCTTGAGCCAAAAACAGAATGACTGGGGAGCCCAATCAACGTGTGCTGCTTAATCTCTTTGTTCTTCTTTCCGCACCCTCGACGGTCGAGAGGCTGTAGGCCAAGCTAAAATTCCCTTTGAGGGATCTGCAAAGCCTACAAAGCCGCACCAGCCAGGAAGACCACGGCAGAAGGCGGTCCGACGACTTCTTCAAGAACCTCCCAAAGGAGAATCCTCGCATTTTTTATACCGTAACAGGTACTGGGAGCGCTGCCATAATGGCCTCCAACAATTGCGATACACATCGCTTGCAAGACCTGAGAGGATTGCTTCACGCAAGGCGAAGAGCGGCGGGGCCCCCGCGAGTTGTTGATGTTCCTATTTCCCTCAATTGCCGTGCGCTGCCCGCTCATGTGCTTGACTCCACACAATGAAGGGCTCGTCTGAAACATGTCCTCACATGCTGATGAGTTGAAGTAGCGGTCGGTAGTTGCGCACATTTCATCTCGACCCAAAGATGCTGCGATGACTTTCGGACGTGACGGGGCACCGAACATGCACCTGGCCTCTTTTGCTATGATCTTGCTGTGTGGTGAAAAGTGCCTGGTTTACACGGAGGCTGCGATTAGCCATCCTCGACTTCTTGGCGGAATGGAGTGCCAAGGAGCGGAGCTTGTGTGACCGGCGTGTCGGGGGAGTGTCGGCGTGTCGGAGGGGTTTAGCTTTGAGCAAGGAGCTGGCCACGCTCAGCCAGTGTCAGAACAATGTTAAAGTCCAGCAGGACGGGACTGCAGTAGCTTGCTGGCTGTTGCTGCCTGTTGTGTTGGCCCAATCCTTTGGCTCCGAGCACATGCAGAGCATCTCGAGATATCTCGAGCTTCGTTTTGATCGCTTGACAGGCAGTGCGATACGCGTCGGGAACCTAGAGTCTAGACCTTGTTGGTGTCGGAGACTACTCGATTCGAGTCTCTTGAAAGGTTAGACGGCGCCTGGATCTCAGCTTGTCAGAAGGAGCATGATTTCAAAAGTTGCTGCTTTCAAAGCGATTGGGGGGCTTACGAACATAGGGGACCCTCAATATAGACCCCCAAGTAGTAGGATCCCCTTATACCAAGAAGGTACCCCTAAGTTCGGAACCCCCCCCCTCCCCCCATTTTCCACACTGCTTTCGGATTCGCCGAGGGCGTCGGCCTCAAGGACTGGATCGAGAAGCGGATAGGCGGCGAGCTGACCGGAGCTAAGACACACGCAGTCCCGCGGCAACTGCCTCGGGAACTTCACGATGCCCCAAGGTTTATGAAGGTTCTTGAGCTTCTATGTGCTTCCCTTTTGCAGCCGTTTGGCTCGTGCGGCTGTTACCGTCTTCTAGAGCTATGAAATCCACATTGTACCGGTGGTACTGGCGAGCAATAAGAAGAGCGGTTGTCACCTGCATTCCTTGTAGTCCCTTGTATTATATAAATTCGTCCTTCGTTTCCACAAGCAAAGTTCGTAGGTTGCGTTGTAGCTGCTTGGCACCGTCGGGCACAGCTCCTGACTGGGCAGCGACCTCGGACAGTGGCACCCCTGCAGCGTGGAACGGTGCTGAACGCCACCTGACAACCCTGTCACCCCTAAAACCTAAACCCTAAACCCGAAACCCTAAAACCTAAACCCTAAACAGCCAAGGTTCTTATACCTATGACGTGTGGTGTGCTGGCAGACCATGGCACTCTGGGGACAGTGCCGGCAGGACTGCCAGAGAGAAGTGGCCCGGCCTGCAGAGAAGCGACAGATTCTTGCAGTTGGTCGTTTGGCTCATGCATTTCGCTTTTTGTTCTATGCCTTTTCCTGCCATGCTTCTTTCGCATGTTTCGTACTGTGGTTCTGTTTTCATTTTGCTTTTTCGTTCTGATCTGCACGCTTTGGTGTTGGCTGTTGGCTTTTGTGTTGCTTTTGCTTTGCTTTTGCTTTGCTTTTGCTGGGCTTTTGCTTTGCTTTTGCTTTTGTTCTACGCACTTTTGTCGGGGGGTCGGGGGGGCGAGGGCGTCTGGTAGCAAAAGCATGACTTGCAGATGGAGGGTGGGGGGGGCTGTTCACCCCCAAACCCCCAAGCTTCCACCCCCCCACCCTGGTCTTTGGTTAACTAGCAAATGCCGGGCAAGTCGTAGGACGTGGAGGCTCAGAACCGTGAGAAGAAACAAGAGGACTTCTTGAGGCTTAAAGGCATACAGATCAAATTCGGGAAGGAAGTCTACATTCTTTTGAATGTATGAAGTTATACAGAGACAGCATTCAAAGCTTACCTTTGCAACTTTAGAGGAGCTGAGGGTCGTGAACATAGAGGGGAGGGGGGTTCCTTTACAACATAGAGGGAAGAGAGGGAGGGCTTTCCTGTCAAATTGAGGAAGTACAGGTTTTCATTGAAGAAGGAAAGCACGTCGCTTCATGTTTCGGGGTCGAGGCGACAGTGGGATTTCGACCACGGCAGGGGTGCGGGACGGCTAGAGCGTCTGGTAGCAAAGGCTCGTCCAAGGGTTTGCATATGGGGTGGCATTCCGTCGACCTCCCTGCTTTTTGTTGTTGAGGAATCGCCTGGCAAGTCTTAAAAAGCAACTGTTCCAAGTATGATGGCTGGGAACCAGGAGAAATCGGAAGAGTTCTTCTTGAATAGGAGGGAACGGTGGAAGGGAGGGGGTGTTTTCTGTTTCTCTCTGAAACGATACAAGAAACAAATGCGAGAGGAGATGTATTCAGATCCGCAAGAGTGATGTGCGAAGCTGGTTGCGACAGTGCGTACTAGTCGAAGGTGTTGTAGGACCTGTCGAAACACGACTATGTGCTACTGCGCTAAAGTGTGAGTATTATTCAGACACTCCTGGCTGGTGCTAGGGGTAGGCAGTGGGTGTTGGTGGAGCTCGTGCACAGCAAAAGTATGCAAAAGTGAACAGAGAACTAAAGGTTTACTTGCTGTATCTTGCTGTGAGATTGGCATGATGGGCTCGAGTCAGGTGTTGATCAATCTACATCTCATGACAAGGACCGGGTGTGGCGGGTGTGTCTAGCTTGCTCACTGCTAGTGTGAACTGTCCTGCTTGAAAATGGGTCGTGACACCCGCAACCCTGTGGGGACGCATGGATGCTTGTGATGTGAAGAGCTTGGCGTGCCGTGTGCTCGTTGCATGACAGGATGCTTTGGCCTCCGATCCCTGCGTCACTCCAAAGCGGCGCTTCTCCTGCGTGGACATCGACATTGACTCCATCCCAACGCCTGCGAAGGAGCACAGTCAGCATAAAACAAAGCCTAGCGGGCCGTGCGTGTGATCGCAGGTGCGTCGCACACTGGAGCGTCCAGCAATAAGACCGGCTGCAGTTGTGGAAGATGATGGCAGGCAGACTTGGGCACTTGGTGTAAGGCTACACAGCCTAAAGGGACGTGACAGAAGCGCGGCGTGAACTGCTGACATCGTACTCTGACATCGTCAGGCATTCCGCGTGCAAAGAGCGGAAGACGCCTCTGAAGGCTCCACGGCATGTGCTGGCCACGGCATGAATGACTCGACCGAATGACTCGTGCTGATCTTTCAGGTCAATGGACCTTCAGCCTACCTGCCCTGTTTGTGACAAGTGGAATAGCGCAGCGGCTCAGTAGAAACGTAGCTCTGCTTTGTGCTTATGGAAGTGGAGGCCATCCAGACACTACGAGGCTCACAGACCTTGCTTCACATGCGCGATCTTGATGAAGACTGCTCATTGCTGGGCCCACATTCCATGCACTCACGCTCACCTGCTCATTACTGCTCATGGGCAGGCTGGCTGCACGGACGTGAGGTGGCCCTCGTGCTTTGTGGCGAGGCCCATGAGGCGACAGCAGCGCAAAAAAACATCGCCAAAGCAAAGCTCGGCCACGCCATGTCACCTCCAGCAGGGGGCTGTCCCGACAGGATGCAATCGACTTGACCCGGCGCCGAGGTGCCCCCAGGGTGTCCCTTGTGGTCGGATTCCGAGAAACTGCATCCGAGCAAGGCATCGTGGCGGCCACGGAGGGCTGGATCACTCTCCAGGGAGACAGCCGCCGATTTGACCCAAGCCGTGCGCTTGCAAGCAAAGGCCCAAGACTTGTCACGCCGTGCGCAGCTTTGCCTGAGCCTCAAGGAGCCAGCAAGCTCAAGACGTGTCTGTTGAAGCAGGACCACTTTCTTTGCGGGGAGCGCAGCGCTGGGCCTCCGAGATTCTTGCAGACACGGAAGAGGTTCAGGGCGGGGGGGGGTGCATGGGAGAGACCTCGGAATCTGCGTTTCCCTCACATTCGCAATGTCCTGTTTCGTCTGCTTCTTGTGGCCAGGATGTCACGATCTCTGGTGCCGTCCTGGTCTTCGAGCCCCAGACGAGGATAAAAGGGAGACTTTCACATATTTGCACGCTCCATTTCCGACAGAAGGTGCAAGTAAGCTCAAGCGTCTCAACCCGAAACTTAAAGCCCTCACGCCAAATGCTTGCTAGGACGAAGCGTGGCCTGGCCAGCGTTTTTCTGGCCTCACAGATCGGCGTTGGCCGGCATCAGGCCGGCTCTTCAGTATATCAATGTCTATAAAGCACTGACTAAAGATGTAGGAACGTGTTGCAGTAATGCAAGGGTTACTCCAGATGCCGGTGCACGATCCTTTCCCGGGGAGATGGGGGCGACTTCCTCGAGCTAAGGGTAGCTCGGCAAGGTGTCAGCAGCAACATCCTGTTTGCCACCGGCTCTTCAACCGTGTGGTATGGTCATTCTGGTTGTCTTTCTTTGTTGGAATGCAGGTGATTGTATATTATCTTTATTTTCCTTATCAACCTCGGTGTTCTGTCTTTTTTTTCCCAAACGCTGTGTCTACACTAAGGGTTCCACAGGTAGCCATCATGATTCGTGCTACGGCGGTATTGAGTTTTTGGCGAATTCGTCTTGTATTCCTTCTCATCCGTACAACTATCTTTTCCGCTGCCAACAAGAAAGGTCGGGCACATTCTTAGAACTGGCAAGGCCCGGCCATCGCCCAGTGCCTCCATCTTCGAGTTTGGGGACTTGGACGAGGTGCGGCCTCCGTGTCAGAGGGATCCAGGCACTTGGTACCGAAATGGGCCATATGGCATCTGCAATGCACTTTCGAACTGTTTCGTGTTAGTCTCCCCACCGTGTCTCTTGACAAAGTCCTGTCTTAGGGCCCTCCGTGCACACGTGCAAGCCCTTGTTATAAGGCAATCGGCCCTCCTGAAATCGTCCTTAACCTTTGAAAGAGGTAGGGCTCCTGCCAAGTAATTAGCACTTGCTTTGAGCTCTTTTCAGGAAGCCCGGCACTTCAACCAAAGACGCTTGAAGTCGCAGGCCTGACCATGATGGTACTCTGTTGCTCTGGGTAGACTTTTGCCTCCGTATCATCTGCAGCCGTACGTCCGCGTGCCATCGCTGACTATCGAAAAAGTTTTGTAACCGGGAATTCGTGGCTCCGCCCTTGCAGGAGCATCGGCTCTCTGTGGAGGAACAGGACATCCATTAGTCTGGGGTAGTGGAGTGGAACCTTCAGCTCCTGTATCACTCGGTGCAAGCCCAGGATGCACTCATCAGCCAGCGGAAGGAGAGGAGACGTTCTGAAGGTTTCGAGCTCTTCGATGATTGGATACTACGCCAGGCGGGGGGCAGCGCTCACGTGCCAGCATCTGCGGGGCTCACCTCACGTGACCTCGGAAACCTCCTGTGCATCTTCCTTGGATTCCGCTGCCGTGCGCGCAGGCCGAATCCAGGGATGTGCACGCCGCTTGCCTGAAGAATTTTTCATGGTGCCCCATGGGGACAGGGCATGGGTATCATATGAAGTAGGGTGCATATTCCAAAAGGACACCAAATATATACACTCACCAATATTAAACGGAACCTTCTATACACTCACCAATGACAGCAAAATAATCCCTGTTTGACATGGAGAGACTCGGAGAGCTATGTGTGGAGTTGTGTGTGGAGCTCCCAAAATGGAAGGTCGAAGTGCTGCTGGAAGCGCCGGTTCGTGCAGAGGAGTTGAAGCTCTTTACGGCACCCAGCGAGGCGAACACAAGGGTTTAGGGTTTTAGGGTTTAGGGGTCAAGCTTTCTGGCAGCATGTTCGATTCCTGTCGACGAGCCCGGAGGGCTTGTGGATCCACTGTGAGGTGTGCTTGGATGTAGGTTTGTGAAGCAGAAAGAAAGAAACACATCTTGCCCAGCCAGCTCCGGAGCTCCC